ACTGCCATCTCACGTTCTTGCTGTTGTTGTTGTTTTCGTCGTTCTTGGTAGTGGCCGCTGTTGCCGAAAAACTTTTATACATAAGCATCATTTTATACATAGCAACAACAACAACAGGAAAATGGCCACACTGCTCATTATTACAAAATCAATAAGTCAACTTAATTTTCGCTGCCCGTTCTATTCATCCACTTCAACAACTTCGTCCGCATTTACTCTTTGGTGCTAAAATGCGTTACATATTTAATCAATAATGTCGTGTTAACTTTATGAAACGTTAGGAGCAACTGCTGCTTTAAATTAAAGTCACTTTATGTATGTTTATGCATATGTGTGTGCTTCTGTGTCTCTTGATCGATTTTTTCACTTGCCAACAAAATACACGCCCACGCGACGCCGCCCACGACATAAATACGTGTGCCGGCTCGCTCGCTCGCACACGCAAAGTTGTTGTTTTTGCCTGCACCATCTCCCCAACTGCCTCCCGACAAGCCTTGTCAAAGTTCAGCGAAGCACAAAAAGGCATAAAAAACACACACACACACACACAAACAGCAGTAGCAAGTAGAGTAGCGAAGGGGTGTTGGATGGTAAGCCATCCTGCGGTGGCTTTCAGTACATGGCACGTAAAAAAAATTTAGCACAGCGGCAATAACTAAAAAAAAAACTGTGAAGAAAACTCACTTTGCTTGGGGGAGTGCATCCTTTTTCTACTTCCTTTTACATTTTATTTTATAGCTTGCACAACCCTGGCCTAGCGACCTGCTCATTTTAAATACTTCTTTAAAGATCAGTGGAGCACAACAAAACAATCATAAAAAGACGGCAAGGCAATCGTTATCGAGTTCAGAGCCACAGCACTTGGCTTTTGTTATCGATAAGCTGACTTAAGCTGTTACCATTTTTATATATTTTTTATTTTGCTAGTATATCTAAAGTTAATGTTATGCAATACTGTTCCTAAAGAACATTTCCTTCTACCATAAATATAATTAAGATTTCATTTTGATGGCTACCTTGAATACTTAATAGAATTTATTCCAAATTATTAACAGGTCCGACCATAGTTTTATAAGTGCAAACTTACAAAGTTAGTCACTGCGATTTAAATTTCTTTCTTTTCAAATATTGCGAAAAGCTACATACATAAAAGTTTTCCTTTGCTTTTAGCTGTTACACAAAACGCAAAAATACACACATACATAAATGCATAGATTTGCAAGAGTGTGTGCGTTTGCTTGTTAGTTGCTGCTGCTTGCTGATGCTGCGACTCTCACACGCACGTCACACACTCTCGTATACAAAAATCATGAGAGTTGGGTGGGGGATAGCAGTCTACAAAATCGTTCTTGCTCGCTCACTCGCTAAACATGGCAACGACAACGACAACAACAGCGACGACGTCGAAATCATTTAATGGCCTGCAATGATTGTGTAGTTGCTGATGTTGTTACTGCTGCCGTGCCTTTTGTTTTAGTTGTCAACAATGTTCGGTGTTGCCAGCTTAGGCTTAGGTACGCTGGCTCCATCTCCCCCCTTCTGCACCTTTCTACAGCATATGTACACTTTACAACAACAGCATCAATTGCTACATGGTGCAACTATTGAAGCATGAACATGCAATTTATGTATGTATGTATGTACATATAGGCGCTTGCCTGCCTGAAATTCACATACACATGCATATATATAAAACTATGAAATACAACAACAACGACGACGATAAGCGACTGTACTTTTGATATAAAACCCACTCACCATACATAGAAATGCAAACACACACTTGTGGCCCTACCTACATACATACATATGTACATATACATATACATATATACATACATAGGTACATACATATGCACCCTCAGCAGCCACCCAAAATGGATCGACTGCGTTGGGCTCTGTTTAGTTTTAGTTGCGATTTAAACTGCATTTCGTTGCCTGCCGCCTGCTTCTTCTTCTGTTGTTGTTGTTGTTGTAAGCTTTGCACACTTGTATGTTTATATATGTGTGTAAATCTGTGCGTGTTATTTCGACAATTCGCATTTGCAGCAAACGAAATAGAAAACAACTGCAATTCGAGCATACACAAATACATACATACATCTATACGTATGTATGTATGTATAGAATATGTTCATTGGATTGGCAGACAGGCACGCTGCACACTCGTGCATACTCAAACAAAACTCACATCAAATTGCAACACTCATTCAAACTACTCAAACTCAGATGCGCTCTCACAACACAGTTTTGAATGCACTTGCCTGACCCTGGCCGAGTGCCGTTAGTTTTACTGGAAGTAGTTCTGCCTCTTAGTCAGGCTTCAGCATTCTAAGCTTTCATTTTTATGTTTTGTTTGTCTACACATATGTACATACATACATTTATATCAACAGGGATTGCATTTGGGGAAAATGAATAGAAGAAACCTATAACCCAATTATTTCGCAAATCTTGCCTAAAATAAAGAACGTGTATGATACACATATATGTACACATACATACGTAATTGCATGGGCGTATCCAAGATCTCATTAAGGGGGAACAAGCATGTTACGTAGGTGAGCATGTTTATCTGAATACATACATATGTATGTATGTACGATATAATCGTATCTATCTTAATCTCAACATTATCAGTTCATTGTTATTTAGTTGTAGCCTTTATTTTCTAATGTTTGTAAGATATCTTATGAAATAATGGAATCAAAACAACAATAATGGCCAGCATTCATCCACGCAATTGTAGTTATTTCATATAGAACATATTTTTACAAATGTTACATACATATGTATAAATATATATGTACGTGTGTACATAGAGTGTCATATATACTGATGCGGCATTAGAAACGTCTTAAAGAATGCATTTACGTTAAATTGATAAATCTACAGCGTACATGAAATATACTTGGAAATAACGAAGATACACAATTTACCAAATGTTTTTAATGATATATAATGTTTTAAAATTTAAATATTCCCTAAATCTCAACGTCTTGCCCCCTCCTTCTCTACGCCACATGTAGGTACGAATAAATGCATATGTATAGTATGTACATATGTACATATGTGTCTACACAGACACATACAGGTGTGCAGCACCGTCTGCTCCACTTGCCCAAACAAAACGCATACAGCGCAGCGACGCACGCACGATGAGAAATTCGGCTATTCAGAAGACCTCCCTCTCCCCCTTTTCATCGTCGTCTGCACAATATACACAGACAGAGCTACACACAGATACAGAGCACTAGAAATGCGGGTCTGGGTCGTCGTCCATCGAGACGACGAGACGGTTACGGGAATGCAAGGCACATAAAGAATGCCAAAATAAGTTTAAAACTAACGACAACGGCAACACCAATGACGCCTCCGTCGCCGTCCCGACCAGCGAACATGCGGCCGCGCCGAGTTGGCCTGTGTGCGTGCATGCGTGTGTGTAACAGTGTGTGGGAGCAGCATAACAAGTGCCCAGCAGCAGTCTTCTCAATGTGAGTAAGATAGAGAGAGAGCGAGCAAGGTGTATTTTGGAGCATTGGAACAGGCAGCTTGCAACGTTTCGTTCTGGGAGAGAGAGAGAGAGCGAGGCTGCCGAACAAGTGCATGTGAGTGTGAGTTTGAATGCGTTTTGTTGTTGTTGAGTTGCGGCGGAGGGGTCACTCAAAAAATTTATCAAGTGTTACCAAGCGCAATAAAATAAAGCCGCAGCGTTAGCCTAATGAGCAATTTTATTCTTGCCCGCCTGAAAAGCGCCAAAGAAAGTTCATTAACACAATTAATATGCAAAAGCACAGCACGCTCATTCATAATGCCACCTACACACGCAACCCACACATATACACATACATATACTATATTGCAAAAGATACGCCAACCGCAAATGTGTATAGATAACGGCAACCCTCGCCAAACAAAAGCGGAAGAAAAAATAGTATTTTGAAGATAAAAGTGCCCAAGCATGGCGTCACTAAAAGGCAGCACCCCAATCCTCCTCCGCCCTCTGTCCCAGCAAACACATATTAAAGCTGTTAAAATCGTCAATATAAGTATGTATAAAAAGAGAAGCGAACGACAAAAACACACAGCTTGCAAATATGTAATATTCGTACAAGAAGCAGCCGCCACAGATACGAAAAAAACCGAGAATGTTAAAGCTCGCGAGGCCGACTGTTGTATTCCCTGTACCCGCCACTCTCTCAGCAGATCTCCACAGTCTTTAAACAAAACTTTGTTGAAACAATGCCATATACTTAAACATATGTACATATGTATGTATGCATGTGTTGTGCACTGATTTTGAGGAACATGGCAATCCACTTCAAAAAACTTACACATACCGACTTTTATTTAAGATATGTACCTTTTTTTTTAGAAATTTATCCTTGTAATAGTGATTTTTGCACCAATGGCAGGAACATCATACATTTTAAAAAAAAAACGACGCTAAATAGGGTTTGTAATAATCTTGGTCGGCGGTGTTCATATGGGTGGGTCAGCATTAACATTTGTGCCTATAGCATGGGGTCCGTCACACCTCCTTCTGCCTGTTAAATACTTTTCAGGCTTAGACTTTTTAGTATACTCTTTCACCCTCCGGGTACAGGGTATAACAAAAAGTGAGACACTCGCTGACGTAGAAAATTTTTGCGCGACAGCATTGCCGCTGAAGCCGACGTCAACGCTAGGCAGCGACAGCGCACTTTTAACGAGCCGAGTGACAAGGCAGCGCGCACACACAAACACGTACATACATACATACATACTTATGAATGTACAAACACAGATACAAAAGCAACTTATACTCTCGACGCCAACGCCGGCTGCAGCGCATTGAAGACCGGTTGAACTTAAATTGGGTATCGTCGCTAGCTGGGATGAAGAAGAGTGGGCGGGGGGTGGAGAGGAGGGGGAGAGAGCTGTAGCGTAAAAGTAGAGTGGCAGTGGCGCTCGCCGAAGCATACATATTGAAGTTTTTTCGTTTTGCGTGTTTTACTTACCCGCGCAGAGAGAAAAGAAATAAGAGTAGAAGAAAATCCGTTAATCTGCTTGCGGTGCGACCTCTTGGACACAATATGCACAATATTTGTTTAAAGCAACAATAATTTTCACTTTCTTGTTGTTGCTGATTTGCCTGCGCGCTTGCTTGCCTTTGCGCTAATTTTTCTTTCTTATTTACTTATGTATATACGAACATATATACCGCATACACTTGCACGCATGCACATACACACTCACACACATACACACACTTATGCGCTTATGTACGCTTCTTGCTTATTTATCTGCATGTATTGTGTGTGCGGCGACTACTTTTTAACACCACTACACCTACACTTTCAGAGGAGATGGAGGCACACAAATGCGTTTTGCTTAAAATATTGCACGTAATTTTCCTTGCTAATTATAATAAACTTCCACTTAATTTGTTTACTTTATTAAATATCTTTTAGAGAAGAGGGATGCGAGTGCGAGACGTGGGTTACGAGTACGCGTTAATTTATTGATTTGCAATTTATCGCTCTTTATGTATTTCACTTTTAACGAACGGTTGTGGCATTTAGATGGATATTTTGTTGCCGAATAAATAATGCGTTGAAAATTAATTTCAAAATAATTAATAATTGAACGGCAATAAAGTTCCGCGAGCACACGTACGACGCTTACGACCGCTTCTAAGAGAATGCAAAGAGTAAAGATAACAGTGATGCATCGGGAACATCGATATGCAGGGCGAAGCGCTATCGATGTTTGGCGCCTCTCGCGATGTGATATAATAGGTCACAACCATCAAGTGCTTTTTACAAATGGCCACACTAAAATTCAAACGGCTTGTTAATTTTACTAAACAGTATTTTTTATTTCATCTATAAAATAAAATGCTTCGCTGCCATTTGGTTGGCGCAGATTCATAAATTTGTTTCCTGTCCAACATTAAAGTTAAATAGTCCTGTATCAACTCATCCACGTTCCTGCGCCACTGTAACTGAGCAAATAATGGGAATCCGTCATCAGCTGCATTCATCCGACGAACAGCGGCCATGTAGCATTTCCAAGGCTGAGGCTCCACCACAAAAAGCTCGGCCAGCTGCGACAGTTTTCGCAGGAAAAGCTGTAAGCCTGTATCGTGATGGTTAAGATGCACCCACATGGTTATAGAGAAGCAACAGATGGCATCGAATTTTTTCCGGTTGTATTGTTTTAAGAAGCCAACAATTTCTTGTTCAAATGCATTTTCATCCATGACATCCACACAGTTGTATTTAATTTGTTCAGGGGACGTGTTTTCTAGCTTGGCCCTCTCGATCAAGAGCGGGTCAATATCTACACCCAGAACGTGAACTTCACGTCCCACACATCGTGTCACGAAGCTATGCAACAATTGTGTCAGAACACCGCAATTGCAGCCCACATCCAACAACAAATAGGGTGCTACATCAGCTGTTAATTTGTTGTCATCGGGCAGCCACACATAGTCTGGTACTAGCTTCAAGCGGTCCGCAGCACAAGTGAATTGATAATAATTCATGAAATTGCCATACTGCACAGCACCGGGATTATTGTTGCGTCGTTCCATTTGTAAAAACAACGTTATTGTGCATTTACGGATATTATATTAAATCAGCTTACAAAACAAGATTACTTTCAACTAGAGATGCCAGTTGTTGCTATAAAAATATCACAAGTTCCATACAAAATATCGATTGCACGCATTAAAAATACCAAGTTTATTCAAATATGTACATCGATTAAAAAATAAAATCGTTTTGAAAGGCTTTCAATATCAATGGTTAAACCTTGTTCAATTGCACAAATTGTTCAGCCTGGTGCTGCAGATAAGCTTTGCGGCATTCCATATCATCTGATGGTCGATTATGAGGCGTCCAGACAGGCTCACCAACAAAATAACGACGTGCCTTTATATAATTCTATGGGGAAAGAAATAAAGCTTGAGAATAAACAGTAGAATGTCCGTAGACGCATATTCACATTTGTGTCCAATGTGAAGCGGTGATAAATGCCTGCCGGAATGACAATCAAATCACCCTTCTCCACCTTAATGCGCAACCAGTTCTCTTCCCCACTGCAAATTAGATCAAATGCAAGTAGTTTGAAAATATTTACCGACGTCTGTACTTACTCGCGCACATCGAAATACCCAGAGCCTTCCAGCACTAAACGAATCTCTTCATCTGTGTGTAGGTGTTCCTGATAAAAGGACTTCAGCTTGGCCGCATAATCGGGCAGGCACTTTTCTGAGCACGTTATCTGCATTAATTCATGAAGTTATGTTTCTACATTTGTATGTAAGTGGAAACTATTTGACTCCTACCTCATCATCGTAGGTATAGCCGCGTTTTGCTCGTAACTCTGCCAACACACTATCTTCGGTATACTTATCAGCATTAATCTGCAAATAATGTCTCAAGGTCATACAAATCCAGTCCAAGCTCTAGAAATATTACCTGGAAATATTCCACACCGGTTTTCTTAAATAATTCCGGCAAATCTAAAAATACCGGTGGGTTACGATGGTGCTCCAAACGCTGATCACTATCAGTAGTATTATCCATTAACCAAACGCGAACCATGTTTAATTATTTAAACAGCGAATGTTTAACAATAAGCTGTGGAGAATGACATATGTAGCGTTGCCACACCGTTAAAGCAATACATGCACAGCTGATCAAATTTGTTTGTAGATTTCACTCTTATACTCCCTATAATCTATAAGAGCTGAGTGAATTCGTGATAATTGTCGTGATAGTGTCGTGAATTTTGCGAACTGTCAAATTTATATTCCGCACATTAATTTTTATAAATTCTTTTAAATGTATATGAAATAATGAAAATATTAAAAAGAACTTGCAACTTGATCACATCTAAAAAAAATGTCTTTTATAAATATGAGAAAGTAAATGGAAACTGAAAATCTAAAACAATTGATTAAACTTTAATGTTTGATCACAAGCTATATATACACGTTTATAATATTTTCGACTGTCTTAATTAATAATTTCAAAATAATTGGGACAAATAGTCATAAAGTACATTTCAATCGCTTTCATTATATCAAATTAATTTTTTTTCAGAAACTCACTTGTAAAACTCCTCGAAAAGTTATGCGAATTGTGCCTTAATACTCTATTTAGTATCTGTTTGGTAGTTATAAAGACCTTAAGTTACTCGATCAGTTCATCTACGATGGTCCCTAGTATGGTGTTTGTCAACATTAGAATACATTAACCTCAAAGCTGTGCGATTAATCTGTAGCTCTTTCCGTACTCGATTGAATTATTATAAATTGTTGTATGTTGTCAATTCTGAAATTGCTAATTCGTCCTCTTTTGTAGCCAAATAATAAAATTTTGTAATTAAAAAGCAACATTTAAAAAATTCAATTCCACACCATTCCATCGAACTGCCATCCTTCATTTGTTTACTTCCAGAAGTATAAACATTCGATTGCTTGTAAACGAATTGCATTATCAGATTTAAAATTCGATTCAATAAAACTGCAAATATTTTGTGCAATCCAATTGTAAAAATGAGCGTAGGTTTCTTTAAGGTTTCTGTTGAAAATTAAAGACACAAATCACATATTTTTGTTACAATGCACACACGCCTGTGTTTATTCGTGTGCCTTAAGCAACATATTTTTGTTTGTATAGCAAAAAAACAGCGCCGCCGTATAAACATAGACATTCACCATTATTATTAATTCACGGCTACTGAATGCGAACTGTAAACCTAATTGCGACGTCCAAAGTTGTTGGTGTTGGGCTGGGTGAGCTGCAGACCACGAATGTTGTGGAAGTCCAACAGCTTCAACATCTCCTTGGTATCGGCGTCAACTTCAATGATGTCCTGCTCCAGAGCAGAGACAGCCGGAACGTAGTTATCACGACGCTCGCGCTCCTCTTCCTGCAGCTTAATGGAAATGCCACGGACTTGGGAGTGGCGAAGACGGCCCATCAAATGGGTGACATAGCTGTAAATGATAATCATGTCTTAGTGTTTTTCAAACATTCTTGTCAGATCTAATGACTCACCCGGCAATCTTGTTCCTCAGGGGCTTGGTGGGAATGATAGCCACCTCCTCACAAATGCGCTTGTTGGTGTGGAAATCCAACGTCAGGCGGGTGTAGTATTTCTCAATGATGACCTTAGCGGCCTTCTTCACCGTCTTGGTTCTGACGCGACCCTAAAATGGAAGTCAAAAAATCAGAAATTAGTTGACATTACAATTAACGGTTTTCCGATCGTGGCACCACAAATTCAGTGCTTGCCAAACATATAAATATAACCGCACTTTTTGTCAGTTATTGTACATGTATTGGTTTATTAAGCGAATGCTTTCATTTTTTCGCTTATTAAAACTTTTTGGCATTTGAACACTCATGGCAGTCATTTGCATATGCTTTTAGATAATGCATTTAAATGTTTATATTTAGTTATTGAAACTTTTCTTCACTTGAATGCAATTTCAAACGATTGAAGCACCTCTAAAAACTTTCGCACTCATATACACAAACATGCACACACACACACACAAACATATGGGCGCAACTTAGTCAGTTGGACTGTTTATCTTGCTTTTTTAATACATTTGCACACAAAATATTTAAGCATACACCAGTGGCTTTTGTTTAGTTGCAATTACTGCATTTATTTCTTATTATTCCTACCATTTTATAGATATTTTAAAACACGTGTTCCGTGATCCACTCTTAGCGACGTGCGCGTAGCGAAAGAAAGACCGGAGCCGAAGAGAGGAAAAATTAGGGTTGTAAGTCGTGCAAACATCGATGTTTGCCACAATCGCTGGTCTATTGTGAATGCGCAAACAGCAACTCTGTTTCTGTCAAAATACCAGGGAGCGTCGTGCTATAGCAATAAGCTGTGTGATAGCAATGTGCAATCCAGTGCAGCCAATCGCACAACTTGTAACCAAGTAACGGAATTTGTTATCAGAGGCCACTACTTTTTTCACTGGAGGTGTAATTTTTTGCATATAAGAATTTGTCATGCAAAAATTGGGAGATTTTGAAGAAATTGCTCCGGTTGTAGCCCCAACAACAACCAATGGTACTACCAACAATCTGGAGGAGCAGAATTTGAGCAGCAAATCAAGTGAAGCCGGCTCTAGCGCTGATTTTCAAATCAATTTAAATGAGTTTCTTGAATTTTTAAAACTCTCTTGCCATGTCAATGATATGATTACAAAAGCTGATATGGTTAAACAACACAGGGAGCCGATTCCGCCCATGGAGGGAGGTGCTGGCGCACTTAAACGAAATTCTAAAAAAGACAGCGAATTCGATTTTGATAGTTTGGCTGAAAATCATTTAGTGAACGAGTTGCTGGGACTAAACCGTCAACATCGTCAAAAAGGAGCCAACAGCAACGATGAGAGTCGCACCACTCTGATGCCAGATGCGAAATCATCGCGCATCTCTCACATCCATGGCGGTGGTGGAGGTGGACGTGAGAGACCCTACACAGGTCTACACCCAAAGCTCTACGAAAAACTGGATTATGTAATCAATGAGGGTGTGCTGGACTCTGTTTTGTCCTTCATATGTCCGGTGCCGGTGCCAGTGGCGCAAACTTTGGCGGCAACTTCTCGTGCCAAACCGAAGCAATCGATATCACCCGCGGTCCCAAGATCCACAACAGAGACGTCTTATTTGCAAGCACCTGTACCCACAAGTACGCCAACAAGCTCACCAACGGCCCTCCCTGGAGCAGCTCAGATGCCTGGTCCCCCGACGTCGCAGGTCGATCAAACAGTCTTTTCTATGAGCTCCGAGGCGAACAGCGTGGTGCGGGCTATGGTCAAGGAGCAGAGCAACAAGTCTTTACCTCCAAGCAGCACAACAACAACGATGCGTCGCAAATCTCTGCTGCTGGTCAAGGACAGCAAACATGCCCGTCAGGAGCGAAAGGAGTAAGTAGGATCGTGACTATATTTAAGGTATTATAGAATTCATGGTGTCTAGGGGTTGTTTATCTTTTTGATGGCCAGATTCCAGATTGCCAGGAGTATAGGTGAAGTCTACATATAAGTCGAAAAATCAAACAAGCATTTTTCTTGTGAGGGACTGAGCAGAGCTCTATGCCATAAATCTCAGATGGGAAGGCATCAAGGCGCATTAAAAAACATTAATTAATTGTTAAAAAAAGAGAATCGAAGACAGTAGTAAAATAACTCTTCTATGTTAGGTTTTAAAGTAAAGTATTCATAATTTAAGTACTTTTTTGAATATGTTTAGAAACATATTAGAAACATTTAATTATGGTTCGTGTAAAAATTTTTTCATATGGACTTGATTCATAATTTTTCCCTAACTTGTTTTATAATTACGAAAATAATTTTTCTAAACTAATTATAACGCTGTTTGAATAATTTTGGCAGTGTTTTCAAGCTTTTATTCTGTTGCTTTTTGGCAGGTTTGTTCAAATGGCTATAACAAATTCCAAAACGAGGTCCTAAAAGTGAGAAATGACTGAAATTTGGGGGTTCATCTATTCATCTATTTAAACAAAATATAACTTGTTTGCAATAATGATTAAACTGATTAATATACATTTTTATCCAATTTTTAAATTGATATAATTTACTTTCGTAAAACGTTAAATCATTAACTATAAAGCATTTATTATAAATTTGCTTTGGCTATTCAAAAACTATATCACACAAAAGAAAACAACATTTAAAAAAAATATTTTTGTCTTTGCCGGACCCCAATGCATTAGCAATAAGATGGTCTTAGTAATATTCATAACATCGGTATCATTTATTAATAAGATTAATTTATCAAATCTATAAACCACACTCATGGTTTTCAATAATCCAGCTCAGCTACAGCCCGCACACTTGGGAATTCTACTGATAAAAAAAATAATTTTTATATAAAATAATTTTTTATAATTCAATAGTTCCTATGGCAGCTATATAATATAGTTTTTCAATTTTAATGAAATTTCAGATGATAGTGAGGCGCTAGAAAACACGCGATTGTTCCCAAGACAGATATTTGGTATAGTACACCAACTTTTATAATACTTCAGAATACTATGTATAATGACTATTATACGATACATATAAATATCAAATTCCAATACTAAGAATCATGTTTTCAATCAGTTTTATAGCAGCTCTATAAAACAATGATACGCCTCCTTCTTCCTGTTACTTAGACACCCCGTCAACCTTCGCGTACCGGGTATTATCATAATGTGAATTTAATATAAAAAGCATATACGCCCAATTCTGTTTTTAGACGGTCTTTTTTTACACGATTTTGATATAACACGGTTTGAAAATCAAAAATTGCATATATATTTCTTTAGAGATAAGGAACCAATTAACTATTTTTGCATAAGATGAATGTATTCTTGTAGACGGTTGTTTCTGAAACCAATCTACCATGTAAAAACAGAATCAGATTTCCCGCAAAACGAATGTCTTATTTTTTAATGACCGTTCATTTCTGATTTATTGATCAATAAGCATGTTAAGTAGAAATACTTAACATTTCAACGTACCTTTCTATTTTATAAGGCCTTCCTGTTGAGTTTCTAACCAACCTCTGTATTCCATCTCCGCTTTAGGCCCGATGTGGTCATCCATGTCTGCGACGAGGTCAAGAATACCTCACGCGACTTCACGTGTCCCCAGAGCCTGTTGGTCAGCAAAATGGGTTACTTTGCGGATGTAACCGCCGGTCAACGGCTGGACGAGATGGACATTTCGGTGCATTGCGACATACAGATATTTGATTGGCTCATGAAGTGGATCAAGCACAGTGCCCAGAGCCATGAATTATCCGCACCACCCAGCCAGAGTGCATCGAGTTCGTCGGGTCCCCAGCTCGATGGCAATAATGTGGTGCCGATTCTGGTCTCGGCCAGCTTTTTGCAAATGGAGCCGCTGCTGCTCGAGTGTCTCGCCTTCTGTCACGCCCACCTGAGCGAGGTGGTGCGCACCTCCACGAATCTGTCGTGTCTTAACGATGCGCTGGTCACGCGCCTGGCCGCCATGTTTACGAATCTGGAATTGGAAATGGTGCGCGACAAGAAGGAGCGCGTTACGCCGCGACTCTGGACCAAGCTCATACAGAGTCTGTGCGAACCGGATCCGGAAGCACTGCGTGGCCATTTCTATAGTATATCGGGGCTGTTTCGGTGCGCCCGCTGCTTTAATTGCGTCACCAACACCATGAAATCGTACGTGAACTGTTTGGTAAATCACATTCGACTAAATCGCTGGGGCCAGCTTGTGAGCCATCATGTGCGCGACACCAGTTGGGATCTCAACATTTATATTCTGCAACAGTTTAAGGAATTGAAGTCCTGGCGCAAGGTATACTGGAAGCTGTGGGGCCACTGCCATTATCTCTACTGTTGTATTTGCGAGATGCATTTTCCGGTCTATCAAATGAATTGGTGTCGCTACCATCCGGAGCCGCCCAATTATCTGGGACCTGTGGCCGAGGGTCGCATTGCGGGTCCAGCCGGACGCTATGCCTGTTGCGGCCAGCAAGCCTTTCGCTTCGAAACCCTGCCCGGCCCTAATGTGCGTGATGAAATGGCGAAGTCTTATGGAATTCTCTTTCAATTTCGTTTCATTCGCAGGGCTGTCAGTTTCGAGAGCACAGCGTGCTGGTCGAGACGGATCGCGAACGTGCTATTCTGGCCATTGCCCAGTTGGTGGCGGAGAACTATGCCATGTGTGAGATGCCACCGTTGCGCACCCAGGAGCTAGCTGCCTCTGGAGAACCCAATTGGATGGACATTTCTTTGACGCCGCAACGCTGCCGGCAAGGTCTGCTGCCACAGCTCTGCATGGATGGTGGGGAACAAAAAACAGAAATGAAGAACCCTTCAACTCGCACTCACAGTCAATCTTCTCTCCATTTCAGTGACCAATCATCGTGTGAGTCGAGTGCGCGCCTTCCACAACTCCAGGCATAAGATCGACACCAGCAGCGACTCCGACACAACATCCACCAGCGAAGACGATGTCCGTTTCCTGCGCTCGAAAGCCCGCAACGCCATGCAGCAAGCAGCAGATGATGAGGACGTGTCCTCCAGCAGTGATGGCTGCGAATCAGAGCATCGACCGCCCCCGAAGAAATCGCGCGGCAAAAAGATTCGCAAACGGTAAGCATTTTCTGAGTATGCTTGATCTTGAGATTTCTAAATACCAATCCCCAAATTGGCAGGCCCGCCGAGGTGTCGGGTCGGTACTGGTCCGGCGAGTTGTCAGCTCGCAGCAATCAGGATCATCAGCGGGACTTCGAGGAGAAGATCATGAAGCAGGTGGTCAGCTATGTTACCAAGAAGACGGGCTCGGATCAATCGCTGATCCAAAACTCACAGCCTATCGGTGGCACCTATGTGCGACTTGAGGCCGAGTGGAAGGAGATGCTCAAGCAACGCCACAACAACCACAACATCTCCAATAGTGGGGGCTTCAGTAGCAACCAAGTCACGTATTCAGGCCTGGGCACAACTGGTGTCTGTGGCAGCAACCTATTAAGCTCCGGTGCTTCGATGCTGGTCAAGCAGAAGCACAAATAGGCGGCACCAACACATAGATTTTAGAGAATTTTCACCAAGTAGCAACAAATTTCTAGTCAAATCTTTTAGCGCTAATCTATTATGTAGATCAAAATGTTGTGCATAAAAAAAGTTATGTAGTCGCAGCTCAAAACATTTCACCAAAGAATTCCAATAAATTGTATGCGAAGCTAAGGTCGTTGGTTTAAAAAAACAATTAAATTGATTTATATAGCTTTATAAAGTTTATTTTATATTTAAAAAAAAAATCTACTTGTGAAGCTAAACTAGGGGTCTAACCTTTAATTGAATTAAATAAATTAATTGGGCTAAAAAATATTATTTTCTATTTAAAAAAAAACCAACTTATCAAGTTAAACTAGAGGTCTTACTTTTATCCAAAAGAAAAAGAAAATAAATCTATTCATAGAGCTTTAAAATGTCTATATTCTATTCTAAAAAAAAATCAACTTGTGAAGCTAAACTGGAGGTCTTACTTTTAACAAAAAAAAAATGTAAATGGGGTTTTAAAAATATTATTTTTTATTCAACTTATCAAGCTAAACTAGAGGTCTTACTTTTATCCAAAAGAAAAATAAATCTATTCATAGAGCTTTAAAATGTCTATATTCTATTCTAAAAAAAAAAAATCAACTTGTGAAGGTCTTACTTTTAAGCGGAAAAAAAATTTAATCGATTTATATATAGAGCTTTAAAAAGTTCATTTTCTATTTTTTAAAAAAATCCACTTTTGACGAATGAAGACACCAAGGGAAGTCCTACGATCTGAAACGACGTGAGTTAGTTAAGAAAAAGAGTCCGATAGTAAACTAAAAATGGGATCTTATTTATTCCACAGAGGTAACAGGCATTTTTTCTGGACCGACTCATTACTGTCCTGATACATCCTATATTGCGGAGACTAAGCTCATGAGCACTATTACAGTGTACAGGACGTACATATATTCGAAGAAAGTGAAGATAAGTTTAGTTGCGTAAGGATCCCAAAACTCTTTCAAGCAACGTTTTAAAAATCCAGAGTCTGTAAAGATTGGAGTGTTCAGAGTTATTCGATAAGGTTGATGGGTAGGCAGGTAGATGTGTCGGAATGAAGTGCTATCCGCAGTCAGTTCGTCAATTGGAGCTGGGGTCCGTTTTGTTGCAGAAGAAAACCTTTCCGATCGATCGACCTACTGTTATTAAAGTATATAGGGGCATCCGGGTTAAGGTTGTGAGCTCCGAAGTCTACCTAGCTCAGAAGTCTAAATAGCTGCGATGTCTACCTAGGGCTGGTTAGTGGAATAGTAAGTGTCTCTGGCTCCTATATTCCTTTACAGTTTCTGTAATATTGGTTGTAAGGCAGACCGATCATCTTTCGCGCTCATTCTGATTGACAATTTCTTAGATCAAGCAAGCAGCTGGGTGGTTCGTTTATATTTATAATGTAAGAGTACCAAACCATATTAACTTTAAGTTGGATATTGTTGATGGGTCTACCCTTAATCAAATTTTCCAAACAAAAGATTACCAAACCCTTTTAACTTTGAGTTGGACATTGTTGATGGGTCTACCCCTATTTAAGTTTTCCAAACAAATCAATATCATTTAAAATACTGCCAACACATGCTCTCCGATTCCACAAATTTAAACCAAACACACAGGGAATAATAACTGTTCGTTTAAAACCAAACACATTGGTTGGATCGGTTGCACAATTTTAACACTAACATCTTCCAGTTTCTTCCAGTCAACCATGGTAGATACTACACTGCAGAACTTTCTGACGCACAGCACCTACGAGGGGGCGTGGATCAAAAAGGTGCATGCGATGGACGGATTTGGAACCTATCGGTTTCCAGACGGCAGCGAATATCGGGGCTACTTTCGGCGCGGCAGATTCCATGGCTTTGGACAACTGAAGATGGCGGCACAGAAATTCACCATGAAGGGTGAATTTTTCGAGGGCAAGCTGAAGAAGATTGCGGATATGTGGTTCGAGGATGGTCTACACCTGAACGGCAAGCTCGAGAATGGAGACCTCAACTGCGAAGACTGGCAATATCTCTCGCCCTACGATCGACGCTATCAGAACGAGTTAAAGTATGGCCAACAGCCGGTGGGCCCTACCTTGTTTTTGACCGGAAATCCGTTGACGCGGCCTCTCGACAAGCACAGCTACGATGCGGAGGAGGGCATCTTCCATTCGAAGACGGGTTGGCTTATCAATCGCACGCCGCCGTTTGATAAAAGCTTCTATGTCTCTTGCGCTGAGGATAAGACATGGATTAAGCGTCATTGTCGCGTGGGGCGAGGTCCAGCGGTAACTGCTAAAGAGCCTTCATCAAGGTTCTGTCGTCAGATTATCGAAAACAATTTAGATAAAGAAAATGATCAGCTGGATGGAACTTTCATTTATTCTCCAGGCGATAGATTACCAGATCGCAAGCGTATGCTCCATAAGTTGGATGACTGCTTCAATGAGCTCTCTCCAGGCGACGACGATGCCTCTGAGACTCTCTGTGACGTCATTGGTGGCGGAAGAAGCTGCGATACTGACAGCCTAACCCAGACTTCGCTCAGCGACGACGTGAAAACTTACCAACAGCTTGAGAAGCGCAAAGACGACACTTTCAGCGTCAACTTGGGAGTGGTCCAAAGTAACTTAACACGTCCTGACACCCTTTTTGTGGAAACTCAACGATCTGTTTTTCAATTGTAATATCTGACAAAGCTCGAAATATATATTTCCTCCACAAAAGGAAGGAAGCAAACACCAATTATATACAGCGTTTGAAGTCTCTTTGCTCGAGTCCCAGGTTGAGGGATGTTAGGTTAATGTGGTTATGGATCCTGGTGCTTGATGAGAGTCCTGCTCTCATTCTGATTCGGTGAAGAATCTTTGATTAATCAGGAATCCCAACAGGTTTCGCCTCAAGGCTTTAAGAGCGATAAATCTTGTATTTTGACCTAGAAGTATAATTTCATCAGAGATAATTAGCTGTTAAAATTTGAACTAGCACTATACATTTCAGATAGTGTGTGACTTTTATTGGCCTCCCAATACTGCCCATTCAGCTCTTCCACTGTTATACATACTGTGAAGATATTACAGGGTTTCTCCTTTGCCGACTATATACTTTTACCTCGACGTTCGAAAGAATCAGCGTTAACAGGGTTTTCTGCAAAATCGGAACAACCTTATTCTATAGTATCTGAAAGCTAACTCTGATCACAAGCTCTACGACAGATATAATAATACAACGGTTCTGCGGCTGACCGGCCTTAGTCTGAAGTAAAAGTTCTCCCTTAAACAAAAACAATCTATTCAGAAATGATTTAGGAAATGATATTCGAAATGCCTGCCTTTTTGTATTATTCTCCAATATTATTCTATGAATATTTATTTGTTATCCTATTTGTTATTACTATTCAGTGACTATCTCTCTTGCTTCCTCTAGGTAGCTAGGGAATGGTATTTGTTCCATTCGACCAAAAGATTAAGTTACGATCTTCTTGTTTGCTTCCAGTTCCCGCAATATACCTCGCTTGTTACCACTAGGTAGTTAATAAGTGTTTTTACGTTTTCTATTACAAGCTAGTAAGTGTTAATCGCAAAAAGTCCGTAGCGCTACATTATTTCGCTAGCTACCAGTTGCTACTTATCTCGCTAGCTACTAATATTCCCAACCACATCGGCCATTCAAAAATAAATATTTTTGGAATATGGAAATTAATACTAGCTCAATCTGAATGTTAAAATAAAAGTTCGCACTTTCAAAACATACTCTCTACTCATGATTCTGGATAAAACTAACTGACTCTATTGATGTTATCAGTACTGGGAAGAAATGTGCCTTAAATTGTTTTTTTTTATCTCTAAAAGAGATTAGAAAGAAGAATATTGGATATTGGAGGAAATCATGAAATCATCATGAAATCAAAGAATAAAATGCTTAACACGAAAATGGCTTGTAAATAGTTCTAAAATTTTATATTAAACTGCTTCAACATATTTTAAGCTTCAAAATAATTTCCTTTTTAATAAGATTAATAGGTTAATGATTAATATTCAACACTTGCAGACAGTTTTTGTTAATTTTAAAAACAGCGGAAATTGAAACAGAAAACTTACTTTGTAACCCCATATTTTAGTTAGAGTCCATGTCTCGCTTAACACGAGGTTTTCTATTTATTTATGTTATATTCATAACTTATAGACATAATCAGTAAATTCCGCTGAGAGTTAAAGTTTTTATATAAAATTTAAAGATAAAAATCTCTTTGCGTTTGCTGTTCTGCTAATTTTTGTTTATTTTTCAAAACACTGTATATAGTTTTACTTTAATTATGTCGCGTATCGTGTATAGAAACAAATTCCTCACGGGCTCGAAGTTCTTCGGACTGTCAAATGAGTTGGGAATGCAGGAACACGGAGTTTATGAATTTCCGAATGGCACCCGGTACACTGGGAACTTTTGTAATGGTCGTTTTCATGGCTCTGGCGTAATGGAGATCCCTCAGCCAATTGGCGTGATCTTTCGTGTTGCTCACGATCATGGGAACTTAACACAGATACGACAGATGTGCTTCGACGATGGGCTGGAGGTCCATATGGATATTAAGAAGAACAAACTCAATGATTCAGAGAAAATGACATTTGAGAACTGGGATTATTGTAAAGATGGAGAACGTCGCTTTTACAGCGAGACTCTGGATAATCTGGAGCCCGTGGGTCCATTGCAATACAAGACCAAGGAGGGCCCAATAGCGCCTAGGCTGGCTGCTAACATATTTGATTTGGGTTTTGGTCGTTTAAATAAATATGGCTTTTTATTGGACATCCCGGGCCATATATCAGAGACCAACCATTGCTATATCGGCTGCCATTGTATACGCCAATGGATACGGGAAAATTGTCGCCACGGTCCTTTGGTGGACGAGCACATAAAGCAGAAGTTTAAAGGCAAATGGGCACGCGAGATAATACGGAACAATCTGGAGGCGACGAAGGAAAATTCTCAGGAGGATAAGCCGGACGCGGGATGCAAGCAATTTACGCTCAAGCCAAATGTTCATTCGCGTCTCTGTCGTCGCACACTAAGCGAGATCAGCAGCTCGTCAGCCAAGAAGACGCGTCTGGCATTGGGAAGTACCTCGGACAGCGCTACTTCCTTCTTGGAAATAAAGCCAATGCCTTCGGCTCAATCCCAGATAAGACTGCAGACATTAACCCCTGTCCAATCCAAGGGTCGCCTCGGCCAACAGAGCAGGAGCAGCATATGCCACATAAATTGAAAACACTTCCATGTTTCATCTTTATGAAATGAGATTAAATTCCAGTGGGTGCTGTAGCTATAGATAGCAGTATAGATCGTTTGATTAAACAGTGTTCAGACTATCAATTCTACTATAGATATTGCTATTGAATATGAAAAATATTAAAATTACTAACGACTATCCAAAACTAGTTGTGAATCGGGGGGCTCTGGTATTCACAAGATAATTGTGGCTTAAGAACAATGCTGAAATAAACTTAATTTGGATGAAAAATCTTAACTTGCGCTTCATATACTTATATCGATATAAATATAGTTATAGGACTATAATTGAACATCCCACAATTGCTTCCTACTCTATATATATATATATATAAAATTGTATGTAATATTTAGATTTTGTTTTTATTATTTTTAACTTAACGCAAATTTACAAAGTTTTACCTTACAATTCATTCATTTGAAATTGTGAGAAACTGCGGGCATATTTAAAACAACACGAAAATTGAATATAAATTAAATTATACATGCAGAATATATTATTGAAGTGGCTTAAAAGTTTCTTGCTTTCGTTAAACAATAAATGCGACTCGCACTCACACACACAAACAAACATATTGATGGATACTTCATCCTCATCTCTTCACATAATGCGGCTTATAGATTTAATCTCCGATTCAATTCGTAATCAAAATAATAATAATATTAATTGGCAGGCTCTACCTGCGTAAAATCAAATGAAATATCTTCTCCTCATATTTTAGTTTTTTTTGGGGATTTTTTTCTTTAAGAAAACTTAAATTTAACACAGCAAATAAATTTGGAACAAAATAGGGGCATAAATATATGTATATATATATCTGTATGTATGCATATAGAACGGCTTGAATTTGATTAATTGGAACGAATGCGACGCTGTTTTGTTGCTGCTATAACAAAGCTACAAATGTTGTGCCGAATGCTCTTTAGTAGCTGATTGTGGGTCGTGATTTTCTTTTCCTATTGTTTTCTTTCTTTCTTTTGTTGCTGCTGTTTTATTGTTGTTGCAGGTGGTGTTGGTGGTGAGGGTCTTAAACGAAACGCATCGTCGCTACTAAAATTTTGCCTCTTTATGTTTGTTTTCGATGATCGTTGGATTTTAATTTAGCTCATTGTTTGTGGCTTCTGGTGTTGTTGGTGAAATTGCAAAGTGCTAGTGTTGACCTGCCAGTTGATTGATTGGTTGGTTGCATGGCGAAAAAGTAATTGGCGCGAAGCTAACTGAATAGGCACTCGGTGGCCTTCTCCAAATTCCAATTCTCTTTAGACAGGACAGCGCGCGCATCGTGCTCCTCAATGCCCATATCCTTAAGCCGCTGTATTTTGGAATCACAATCGGGAAACGTGTGCGGACCACCTGCATAGGCGTTTGTCCAGTGCTTGGCGGTCATTAGAAATAGTTCGTGTTTATCCTTGAACTGATAGGCGACTACAGCGTCCTGGGGATCATCTGGTTCAGCGGCAGCCAGCAGCGCCTGTAGAGATAAGAGAACGGTACGCAATGTCATGGCTGCGGCCCAATTATCCTTGAGTATGTCCAGACAAATTGCGCCGGTCACCGATGAGATATTGGGATGCCAGATGCGTGTTATAAAGCGAACCTAACAAATAGCTGATTAGTAATATTTGCATATTGAAATTTTCATATTACCTTTGGCGGATTAAAAGGATATGTTTCGGGTACTTTGATTTCCAGCACAAATTTTCCGCCCTCATATGGTGTGTCTGGCGGTCCGGCAATCTCGCCGCGCAATTCTGTCCAGCTGTCATTAACGAGCTCAATTTTTATTGAACACTGCACAATCTGTCAGAGAAAGAAAAAGCCAATCAACATCAGATTTAAATTATAAATTGGTGCTCATCGATTAGTTTAGTGCTATCTTTAATTTAAAAATGCTTCCAAAGCTCCAACACGCTCAAGAATCGTCGAAACGCGCGCCAAAAATGGAACCAAAGTTCGCAGCTGTTATTGGCGCTACGCGCCGCTCCTCGTCCTTGTCCTCACTCAACGCTATGGGCGATTGCAAGCAGCATATTGGCCATAATAATATTGGTAAGTACAATGAACGACCAAAACATTGATAGCAACAACAACAATAACAACCAACACTCACCTCCTCACTCCGCATTACTTCTTTGAATTCCCGCTTGATGCGCGAAACAGCCATATTCGCCATGATTGTTACTATATGAATTTATTGTTGTTGTTTCTGCTGCTGCTGCTGCGGCGGCGGCGGCGAAGATGTTGCCTGCTGCTGCTGCTGTTCTATTTAGTATTATATAGTTGCGTAAAGCTACGCGTCGATAGATGGTGGGTCGAATTTTAATGTTGGCGTTTCGAAAAATGATGTTAATTACACATATAGCAACAGCCCAGCACAAAAACAAACGATGTATTTTATGACAAAATCTGTAAAACTTATTTTTGGAGTAGAGTTGGGAACTGAGTTTATTTCCTTGACACACTTTTTCTATTGTTGTTATCTTCTAAATTATAAATATGTAGGTATATGCATGTGTATGAATATTATATACTTCAATTTTGCTATTAACAATTCATGTTCATTGTAAATCTTTTCACTATTAACGAGCTAAAGCAACTGGAGATGAGAAATTGCTCTGATACCGTTACTTTGTCACAGCCGTAAAAAAGTCGCAGGTGCTATGAGGAAACATTTACAATTGAAGGTCATGATCGTCTTATAAATAATTATTTTCGGGCTTTTGTTAGTATTTTTCGTCAAGTCAGTTTTTTGCCTGGTATGCCTGTTTTATTTCGCAGAGGAACAGCTGATCGATCCAAATCAAAGTTGAATCTAAATAGTTAAATACTCAGGAGCACTTATTAATTATATACTAATATATTAGTGATAAATATTGTCTGTATTGATATTTAAACTCGGTAATCACTGTGTTCATAGTGTTCATTCATAAACTTAATACAATTTACACATGTCAACCTTATCTAACTATACATATATGTATGTGCATTAAATTTTTGGATATGACAGTGACTCAAATATTTCATATGGTTATGGACCCATATGGCATAATAATCGGCAGCTCCAGTATTTGCATTTATCGTTTTATCGCTGCACTGTCCTGCCAACTCGGTCGACTTGCCATCCCTCATTCATGGCAGAGTGCTGCAGCAGAAAGCTTTTGAGCTGTGCAGCTTATGGCCGATTTTCGTTTATATGTTAAAAATTCGTTAAAATCGTACAGTTGGATGTTCCTCTCACATTCTGGTATATGTACACCAGACATACATTTGCCAACGAGCATAATTTTTATTTTCTAGTTAAATAGTTTATTTTTTAAAATCTATTTTACTGAAAATGTAATTTAACTTTAAAAAAAAATGTTGGCTCTAATAATAATTTATTAATAATAATAATAATTTGTTGTAATTTAATATCGCTGGCGTCCTACCAGCATATTCTAATTGAAAAAACCGTGAAAAATTGTCCGTTTAAGTATAAATTTAAGGGGATTAACTGAATAACATTCATATGTATGTATGTATATACATTTGTATTTTAATAATAGAAAAATGATTTACATTTACATATGCTAATATGTATGTATGTACTCGTATTCTTGCGTTTTGGTATATTTTATTATTATATTATTTTTTCTTAAGAGTTCATTTGATTTGTTAGTGTAGGGAAAATCCACTAATTTTCGTACATATGATTAGATTTCTAATGCAAAATATAATAATGATAGCACCGTAATTTATTTTGTTCACATATGCGTTCTTAAAGCATTTTTCTTATCGAGGCCCTCACATAAACGCACATTTTCGCATTACATACATATGTATATTATTATTATTAAAATCAGAGGTTTTTTCCATTAGCTTTGGCCCTAAAAATGTTCACGCACATTGCGATTCCAGCTTCTTCTGACCTTATCTAATATACTTAAGTTACGCCTTGGGACCCCAATTTTAGTTGTTATTGTAATGCGAGACTCGTTTGCCTTCATTGCCGATGCCTGGCTAATGAGCAAAAAGTCTACTTCTAGTCTTGAGTAGGCCGAGGCTTAAGATGTGGTTTGGCTTGGCAACAGCACAAAATTAATAAGATGACAATTATGCTGGTCATTTCTCTATAAATAAGAATGTGCATATGTATGCATGTATGTATATATACTTACATTTGTACATACATGCGATCCCATACAAAGGCAAACAAGCGTGGTTCTTTCCATTCACGTTTTGAAAATAAAAACAAAGTTTCAGAAAACGTGTCGGAAAGCAATGAGTCTGCGTTGGCTTGTCTGCGATTCCCATTTCTGAGGTCTCTCAAAACTTGCTCATGACAGACAAACACACTTAGAGTTCTGAGCGGCAACCCAATAAACATTTCTGTTACTGTAAAATTATTGCCTCGACATTATTTTGATTAAATATTATATTGTTTAATAGCAAAAAAGTAGGCTTTGCAGCTTATTTAATGCTACTTAGTTTTAATAAACGGTAAACATCTTATTGATGTTTTTTTGGTCAAGCGTTTTGATTTTGGTTCTAGAAACTAAGTCTTAACTTTTGTTTTCTGGGCATGTGCTGCCTCAGCATGCTGTCTGTGCCACAATCTTAGCCCCGCTGTCCCCTCGCCTAGTCACCAAAAACTTTAATGGCGTTGTTGTGCTTCAACTTACGCTCTCTCTCTTTCTCTCTTTTCTGTCTCCCATCAGTGGTGCCAGTTTTTGAGTGTCCGCAAAAGCTAGATCAGCAGTCGAAACAAGCTGCCCGTATTAAAAGGTAATGCTGGTAAAAAAAACCAAGTTTTCGATGCCTAAATGGCTTAAAGTAGTTATTGACCAACAGGGAAGTCATACTAAGTAATAAAACATCGAAGTTGTTCCTTAATTTTGTTTTTCGTCAACATTTTTTAAGGTCGGTCGAATAAACTGTGACATTGAATATGAATTTTTTGTTCTTGTTTTTTTTTTTTTTTTTAATAAAATAGGTAAAAATAAATAAAAAATGAAGTCATTATTCATAAGTTTAAATATTATTTAATAAATAATAATATTTTGTTGATATCTCTTTTCGTTTAAAAGTTATACTCATTTAAAAATTGTACTATGGACTGGGTCGAATAAGCTGTGAGCCACTGTATATCACTGGTGTAAGAGAATCCTGCTTCAATTAGCTTCGGCTTTCCTAAAGAACTTTTTAATTATTATTACAAATTTCTATACGCTTTCAAATGTTGCAGCTTAGGGCAGTATCTATTTAAGTAAACACCTTTTTCAAGACAGTATTGATTAAAACAACCTTGCTCTATATATGCAGATATAGTAATAATACCAGAAAAGGAATCAGTTATATTTTTTTTGCGATGTTTTTTGTTACTTACCTTCAAACTTGCCTTTCGTAATCGACTTTCGAAATAGTTCAGCATTGGCGGGAAAATAGCTTCATTGGCAACACTGTCTGCCACCGCTCTCCAGCTCTTTTGCGCTCCGCTCCGCTCCCACCCAAACTTCATGACTTCGAGGCGACGGCAGCAATGACGCGTCATCATTTAGCTTTTGCATTTTGTGACTAGCGGCTGCACAAGTTAAATTCGGTGCGTGTTGTATACATACATACATAAAAGTTTATATTCAGCAAAGATATACATACCATTACAGTTGCACTTTAAAACAATTTAATTATTCTCGTATTGGCTACTTAAAGGTTTTCGCGACATCTTTGCCTCTGCACATGTTTCAAGTAAGTTATGCTCTTATCATTGCCAGTGTTTTTGTGTGTGTGCCTCTTTATTTATTGTGTGCTGTAGAAAAACGTGCTATCGCTCATAGCGTGCACGTGGTTCGCCTCACGAATTGTTTTCCATTGCAGTAATGCCGCTATTTGCGTCAACAAATGCGTCAGCAGCATCCATTTTCCAATTGGGCCGCTTATCCCGTATTCCTTTAAACGCCAAAACAACAGCAACTGCGTGTTCTGGCCTTCGTTTAGTTGAGGTTCATTTAAATTTAGAAAACGCCGAAAATTCTACACATTTTTAATGCCCACATTAAGGTACGGTCAGACATGCACATTAGGCTTTAAATAGTAAATTCCAATAAAGGTTGTCCTCGCAGAAAACCATGTTTTAGTATAGAATTCATATTAGTTTTATTTGCAGTGACATTTTATTTAAATTTCTGTGCAAAGTTATTTGCGTGTCTGACTAAAGCCTTTTTCTTGTTTGTTTGCTTACTTGCTCTGACAGCTCACAGAATTATTTGCTTAAATACGCAATTGTGTATGTACATTCATACATATTACACTTATTTGTGGTTTTGCGTCGCGCCAGACGAGCCCCTTGTTTAAAAGCAAAAATAGTTCATAAGGGCATATGGATTTTGAGCACGTCCAAATATCTAAGCATGTGTATGAAAAGGCAAGAATTGTGATTTCTAAAATGTATATTTAAACTAAACAAAAATGTTCCTTGTAATTGAGATCGATTACATTTGTTTTTATTTTATTACCATTTTTATTTACTTGTCTTTCAAAAATTATCCTGTTTTTTTTTTATAATTCGTCTGCCTCATTTCAACTATTTAACGTTACACATGTTGTTTATTTGGATGTTTTTAAATGTTCGCTTATTAATTACCTTTTGTTGCATTTGCAACCCTCTCTGCAACAGCTGTCAGCTGTGCGAAAGAGTGCGGGGTAGTTTGTGGCAAAAGCTTGTGGAAGCGTCACACAAAATTCTTTCCTACTCGTGCGTGCATGTGTGTGTGTGCCGTCTACTCTGCGTATGTGAGATGAACGCATACGCCATGTTGTACGCGCTCAGTTTGTATTTCTCACTCGCAGCCGCGACGCGTTCGAATACTGTCGTCGTCGCGTCTCTCGCCGCCGTTATTGTTAGTCCGCCTTAAAGGTTGCTAATCAACTGCGCTTTAATACATGAAATAAATCATTTAAATATATGTGTCTGTGTAATAAACATTTTTTGTTTTTGTCTGGTCGACGTCGTTTTTAGACCGACTCTCTTTGCCACAACAAACCGTTTTAGTCGTGCATTACCGTTAGTCACTAACAAGTGTTGAGTGTGTACGCATTAAATACAGGAATAATACATTGAATCACTATTTGTACACAGCATGCCAGATAAAAAATGCACTGAACTTTCGGAAAATAATGGTGTGTAGATATTTGAGCGGATATTCTGCGGAATTGCATAGATCCTACAGCTGTGTGTGTGTGTGTGTGTGTTTGTGCGTATGTGTATTGAGTGTGTTTGCAAATGCACAATTTCATGGCCATTTTAGTGCGACAGTTGCATTTCAACCCTCAAACAAGCGGACAGCTGTTTTTTTTTTCATCAGCTGTGGTAAAAGCTATCCTATAAATGTGCTCAGCACAAAAGCCTTTATCATTCCACAAATTGTAAAAGCTTTTTTTGCGAGTGCATTGCAGTGTTGCCAGACTTGATGTGGGTAGTAAGGATATTTTATTGTATTTAAAATTGCAGGATATTGCTGTTATCTATAATTTATTTTTAAAGTAATGTATTTTTAATAGACTTTATTATTATGAGTTTAGGTTTATATTTACTTTTCAAAACTGGAATCTTCAAAGCAATTTGGAAATCGTTAATTAATCAAATTTCTTCCTGGACAACCAACAAACAATCTGGTTACACCGGTCTCCCATGCGTTAAAAAATCACATGGTGGCTGCTTGGGGTGGCTTTGCCGCGCACACATACTAACACACTCAAGAATACTCACAAGCTTTTTGCGCTGCTAGCGTCGACTGCGATAGGGAATTGTATGAATGAATATTGGCGCGCATGAGTGTGAGAGAGCGCCAAAGCTGTTGCTGCTTGCTGCCGTTTACATGTGGCGCTCTCTCTTACACTCATTAATACACACACACAGGCGAATATATGATGTCGTCGCTGCCGACGTTAGCTTCGACATCGACGCTTGGCAAAAAAATTTTATAATAAAAACTTGTACTCGTAGATTGTGTGATGCCAGTACGCTCTGCTAATCCGATACGCGCTAGAAGTTTGATCCGAGACAATTTGGAGAAACAGGCTGGTTGTCTAAATTTAATACACTCCAGAATGCCAAACATTAAAGTGTTTTCGGGCACCTCGCATCCGGATTTGGCGCAGCGTATTGTCGATCGGCTGGGCATCGATTTGGGCAAGGTGGTGACCAAGAAATTCAGCAATTTGGAAACATGGTGAGTACCTAAGACCAGCAAAGTTCCTGCAAAGCTACAATGATTCACGGATTATTTAAACAATATGCCAAAAAAGTGAGAATAGTGAAAATTTGTGTGACAAGCGAAAAGTCCTGCGAAATGGAAAGCAACAAATGTTGCAAAATAAAAAAAACCGAAATGTGTCTAGAATACTAAAAAAAATGTTGCCATGTGCAAGCGGCGCCTGTCTATCAGCAGAGAACGGTTATTCGGTGGTTCGGTGGTTTGGCGGTTCGTCCGCATGCCTGCCAATCAAAGCCTTGACATTCGCTGAAGGTTGCCGTTGTGGCATGCCATGCGTTTTATTTGTTGCTTGCTTTCCGCGTCAATTTCCGTCTATTTTACAAACATTTTTTTTCGCTCATTCGGTACATATAATTTTTGTAGCTTTACTTGATGGTGTTTTATTGTGCGCCCTCCGCGATTTCATTATTTTTTGTTCGCTTTTATTCTTGCCTTTTTTTTTATTGATTTAACAAGTGGACTGTACACCGCCGCCGTGTTTGTTGGCATACACATGCATACACATATGTATGTAGGTATGTATGTGTTCAACACACATTCACACAGCCACAGCCAATACGCTCTGGCAACACCGCCAATGTCGCGTGCAATTTGCCGTCGTTGTCAGCAGCTGTAGCAGCTGAAAAAAAGCATAAAAAGAATAACAACAAAGAGGGAAAAATCTATACAAAAAAAATTAGTTTTTATTTTTAATTAAATTAGCAAATGTATGTCCATTTGTATTTCTATTAGCTACATTTTTGCTCTTGCCAACCCTCTCTCACACTCTCTTTTTTCCTACGTCCACACATACACACAAAAATATAAAGACAAAGTCAGCTGCTTCTGCTGCTGCGCGCTCGAAAAGCAACAACAACACAGCAACAAATAATAATAAAAATACGCAGTTTTTTGCAATGTCTGTGCCGACGCGCTTATCAGTATACAAGAATATTAATAAAATTAAACAAACCTTAAGTATACAAAGGAAATTAGCAACAAAGCATGCCACATACATACAAACTAACGTGTCTACATACAAATAAAGCAAAAAGACAAGAAATATAGGTTATAATGCGCGCTAAGCTTTTTGGCATGACTCGTGCCGCTACCTTGCTGTCTCTTTATGTACATGTTTGGCTGTGTGTGCTTCCCACTGTGTTTTGTTATGCTCACGCATACACGCAAAGGTCCTGCCCGGCAGCAGACACAACACAGCGGCAACCAACAAACCGAACCACAACACGGCATTGTCACGTTTTTGCCTCGCACTCAGGCCACACACACACATGCACACGTTGACAGTGTCAGCCGACAGCGACTGCGACGTCGACGTCGACGCCGCCCCCACATGTTTTTGGCGCTCACTTTATCAGAGCCACTACATACAAACAAAGAACATTCTCTCTTGTTTGCTGTTCCATGTTCTCGCGCTCAACTGCAGTGTCAGTTAAGCTACGGTCAGACACGTCAATTTAGTGAAAATACCGCGTTACGTATCTGAACGTTATTTTTAACCGATTTGCGCGTTTTAGAAAAAAAAAAAACAACACAAAAAGAATAAAAACAAATATATAAATCATTCTTTCACATAACCATAATACCTAATATTACTGAATCATATATGTATGTATATGTGTATTAGCTTTTAGCTTGACTACGAGCTGGCTCGAATAAAGTTCCATACAATTAGAGACCGTGTCAAAACCGAACTTATGAAATACTTAACATAAAATGAATTTAGTTTTTGGTAAATGAATGTTTAAAGTTGCGCATTCTATATATATTTATATTTATATATTTCTATATATATTTAATTTTATTTTATTTTAATCTAGTAAAGCATAAGAACAAAATCATATGTTTCTGTTTTTGATCGTAGCTAAAGAATTTTAAGCAAATAAATTTTGAGTCTAACCGTACCTTTGGCAGCGAGGCAGACCGACTATGAACTGTGCTATAACCCCACGTGTACGCCAAAGAGCACAGAAGAAGCAACAACAATGGATTGGTTGTTGGTGTTTTTGGCGTACTTGTCGGCATTGTGGCTGTTGTTGTAATTTTTTCTGGTTTGTTCTCGTGAGAGCGAGTCGTAGTGTAGCGTGAGTATAACTAACACAATCACAACAGCATTCACAGTTACGTTGTCAGCTTGATGTAATTGCTATAGTTGCGGTTGTTGTTATTGTCATGAGCCGTGGCCTTTCCACTTCGACTTGATTGGGGCACTTTCCACTGATACTGATAGCATAGAAATTTGTTATATTATTAAGCCTTGAGCACAGCCAATAAAATGTTTGTGAGTGGTTGTTGTAACATATAGAGTCTTGTCGCGTGATCAATCTTGAATGGCAATAGATATGTTCAAGATGACATCATTAATAATTTTCACTGTCGTGCTAAAATATTTTAAACGCAATTTACAAATTTCGAAGCATTTCGTAAATATTTGTTAATACGCACAACTTATGACATATGAGTATGTCTGTAGCTATTACTTATAACTTCATAATATAATATTAAGCCGGTCTTTGTTAAAAAGTGAAATTAATTCTAAAATTCCTGGATTCTGTTCGTAATCAATTCGTATTAAAATCTTAATAAAACTGAGCCCGGGCTTTTCCTGCTTCGGTTCATTCGTTTTTGTTTTTTTTTTTTTTTTGTAATTTATCAACTACACATAGTTATGGATTTATTGATTTACATGGGGAGTTTAATATAAAGCATTCAAAGAAATTTGAATATTTCAGAATATTAAACAGAAATTGCAAAATGTACTTGTTTATAGATTTACAAGTTTTCGTTTTTTATAATAAACTGTTGTTATCTGTTGTTTGTTTAAACAAACATGTTGTGATTGGTCTGCAAAAAGGTAGATACACCGTTGTTTTTAAACGGTTTAAACTTTTAAAACAATTTTAACAATTTTGTTATTTTCAAAACTTGACAGCTCTTTATACTTAAAACTGTCGGAACCACAAATTTTGTATTGATCAAACATAGTTGGGTGGATGGATAAACAAAAATGGGTGGAATAATGTCAATTTACTCGTCAAACTATTTGAATTCTTAGCTTTCTCATTTCCATTTAATTACTTGTATTTCAACTCTATTTTATTATCGACTCGCAATATAATCGATTTAAAAATCTATTTTAATTGCTTAATAAGTCTAAATTGGTTTTTGCCCCTCAGTTCTTTCACTTTAATTTTGTGTGTTGCTGAACACGTGAACCAATTAAGCCATAAATTTTGCAATCGTAAAGGCTAATCTGAAGAAATTTTTTCACTCTGTCGATAGCCCCATAATCTGGCTGATATTTTATGACTGCACACAAAATTTCTAACCTTAGACACTGTCACGAATGACCTTGCGCACGACAGGGAAAAAAGTTAAGGAAAAGGGAAGTAATGTGAAATGCAATTTTTCAATATTTCAAAATATCAGACGGCAAACGGAAGTAAGAACTTATTGCTAGGAGGGGGATTTAGTACGCAAAACACGCAAGCGATTCTATGAAATTTGCAATCAAAAGCATAATCGATAGATGCCCGAAAGGTCGAGTGGTTAAAGGTCCTGCGAGGAAGGCATTTGTTAAACAAAAAGAAAAAACGAAAACGATTATAATGACGTTTCCCAAGTGTTGTGAGATAACAGCTTTAAGTGGAATTAAATGCTTCTTAAGCTCCGTACAAACACATACCGACAAAAACATATGTAGAGCAGGAGTATATATGTACGGTGTGTATTGGCTGATAATACCGACGTCAAGCGATTGGGCGTACAATGAGTATGTGTTTTTAGTTTACATTATCAAACACACACACATACACCAACACACGTTGTGATCTGCCAAAAAGAACACAGCACGGCCATAAAAATAATAATAATAAACGAGCATAACGTTATGTTTGTGCCAGCCTGTCGCTTGAATACACTATACCTGCCCTTTGTGAGGCTTAGAGACCCTTCATTGATTAATATTTATTGACTGCTCGCATTAATTAATGTTATGTGATATAATACTTTAATGTGATACTCTAATATGAATGCGGAGCTAGTTTCAAACTTTTTCTAGAATCTACTCCTTTGTTTAAGCACCGCTCTGGATTGTATCACCAGTACTGACACATTTCCCTCAAGTATATGCATATATTTCTTAAATTTATTTCAAGATATAGATTCGCTTTAAGATATAAGATCAATCGTGCAAAATCGCTTAGAGAGTCTATAACGAAACAAGGATTCGAAGGCCAAATGCCATTGTATCCTTTCATTTAAAATGTAGAGTATTAAAACACAAAAGAAATGAAATGCTTCGATTTCTGGCTCGATGATCAAAATGCCGGTGTTTTTACCCGACCAGCCAACCCAACAGCTGCTGTTACGCTCTGGGGCGGACAACGCGAGCGTTATTTTTGGCATGCAGCCCATACCCCACCCATAACCTCACCCTTTTCGTCCCCTTCAGCCCACATTTGTGGCATGTTAGCAATGTCAGAGACAGCGAAAGTGTTTTTTTATTCACATTTCTTTCAAATTTCTTTTGCCGCCGTGTTTTCATTTAGTAAAACCTCTTCAAAAATGCATTAATTTCATGCCACATTGGTTGTGGCCGCATCCGCCTGATGAAATAAATGGTTTATTGTGGTGCAACATGTCGTATGCGTAATAAAAAGCAATTTAGATCTGATTTTGCACAAATCGAACACATTTGAGGGGCCGTTTTAAAATGTTGATAAGGTGCAGATTATTCATTTGTGCTACTGACACACATCCACAAATATTTCAATATATTATCGGGTTGATTGGCACTGTCAACCGGTATAAATAAGAAGTTTGATAATTATGTTATGTATTAAGATAATATTAATTACTGATATACAAGAATTACCCATAGAAGAACTTCCCATGCAAGAAACTTCGCTTACATTTTCTGTTAGTCAGCCATTCAATGTGCATTGTTATAGTTGTTATTGTTTTTGGTATTGTCTGCAAATATATCAATATGTTATCAGGTTGGTTGGCACTGTGAAACAGTACAAATAAGTAGTTTGATAATTATGTTTATGATAATATTAATTACTGATATAATTGCCCATACTGCCAGCGATTTTGTTTACATTTTCTGCTAGTCAGCCATTCAGTGTGCATTATGAAAGTTGTTTTTGTTTTTGGTATTGTCTGCAATCGATTGCTGCCATTGAGTAGGGGCGGTGTAATTTGATTAACCTTCGATGGACAAGAACAATAGTAATATTAACCCGAACACCCTGACATGAGAAACAGTCGAGCTTTTGACGCCCAAAACGAAATCAAAACATAAACACAACAATAAACGCGCGTCAGGCGACTCAGCTGTGTTGCAAATATTGCGCATACGCTCCGTGGGCCGTGACGTTGCTCTTGGCCAGCGTTTTTTTTTTTTTTCAATTATTGTACGATTGTATTGATTTTTTTTTGCATAATTTTATTTATAACTAACGACACGTTTTTAGAAAATTTAAACAGTGCAAAAGAAAACTCATTAATTAAGAAAGCCATCTAATAACGTAGCCTGCTAAACTGCCATTAAGAGAACAAAGTAGTCAGAGACGTTCTTAGAAATTAAATTAACTAACAACAAAATAGTAAACAAACCTATCAACAAACTAGGAACGGATTCTTATAGTCTCTGACCCAATGGGGAAAGATTATTAGAGAGTCCGCTTATCTATGCTCCAACTCATAGCCCTTGCACTCAGTTATTCCTTTGGGAGTTGCTTTTAGTAAAGAAAAGAAAGAGTTCGATTGAGATTAGGTAAGAAAATTGGGCTTAGTTCAATAGTACCAAAAAAAAGATTGTGCAGAGAGGTATTAAAAAGTGAACTTAAAAAGACCAAAAGGGCAGACGATTCTTCAGTTTAGAAAATCAATTTGCGGTGCCAACAAGTCTGTCCTACGATTAGTTTTGAAATAAGAAAAGGCATAATCAAAAAACAAAATGATTTTTTTAAAGTTTAAAATGTTTGAATTGAACATTATTGTTTTTAAATAAGAGTGTTGAAAATGCTTCACTTCCAAGTATTAGCTGAATATAAAATACTAACTCTAAAATGTTAGGTTTTCTTTATATTGTTGTAAGCTTTAAGCGCTAAAATTTAAGATGTGACGCCCACATTTGCTCACAGAATGAAAGTGTAAATCGTGCTCGTATTTATTTTGTTTATTTGAAATATTATACAATACCCTGTAATTGAAAGCAGCAAATCAAACAGTTAATCGATGCTATATGTATGTTTTGGACAACCAGAGATGTCTAAACAGCTCCCTAACTATCTGTTAGGGTTATAAGTAGTATACTATTTCCATTGGCATATTGTTGTTTATTGTTTGTTCTTTAATTTGTTAAAACAATTTCCATTTCTCACATACATATGTTCTACAATTTCAGCGTCGAAATCGGCGAGTCTGTGCGTGGCGAAGATGTTTACATTGTGCAGTCTGGCTCCGGGGAGATCAATGATAATTTAATGGAGTTACTGATTATGATAAATGCATGCAAAATAGCGTCTGCCTCTCGCGTTACAGCTGTGATTCCTTGCTTTCCCTATGCCCGCCAAGACAAAAAAGATAAGGTAGGTCTGCTTCATTTAATGGTTTCCTTTCCTTCGAGCCTCCTTCCACAGAACACATTGCACGTGCAAAGAAAAATAATTATGATAATGATGATGATGATAAATGCGAAAAAGAAGCGTTTTAATTGTTAATTCGATAAAATACAAAAATCACACATACACACACCCACACACCCAAATACGCAACAAACAGTGAAAACTGTTGCGATTCTATATTTTTTATATTTTGTTTTTTGTGCTTGAACTGCAAAATAGTGTGCAGTGTAACTAGTTCGTTTATACCCATAATAGTCTTAAATGAATAACCAAACCACTATTCCTCTTTATACTTATACTTATATATCTACCAATAGTTCTTTTTCTCTCTATCTATACCGCATTCTCCCTGTGTGCGTGTGTGTTATTGCATTTTGTAATTAAGAGTTAAGTTCTTGGATTGTTTTTTTTTTTTTCGTTCAATGCAGTTGCAAGGAAGCAAAGCTCTAAGCTGTAGAGTTTGATAAAAAAAAAGTAGAAAGTATACAAGAAAATGTGGACAATTTTGTGTATAGATATTATATATTTATAATACATTAGAATTATAATCATATTATTTAAATAATTACGTTTGTTTCTGCCGCTAATTTATCTACTTTTTGGTATGATCTTTTTTTAAATAAAACTGCGTCGCCACCATCTCTCCACTCTCTTCGCTTTCTCTCTGTTTCTCCACAACGATTTCGAACTCTTTTCCCATACCTCTAGTTGTCGGGCAGTGAGGATAAAGACGAGAGCAAGATACTTGCCAAGAAAAACAACGATTGGAAATTTAGGGTATTTAATTCTTTTTTCAACTATAACTGTCTCCTCACCCTATTAAACATCATCTTAAAATGGTTTCGTTTCCAACAAGAAAAAAAACAACTACAGAAAAATTAATATATATTTATTTTGTTTTCCAAAAGCAATTTTACGTACATGTCTGAAGAAATAAAGTAAAGTTGTGTGCAAAAACTCATTCAAGCTCTCTCATCCACAATGAACATGAACTTCAGCTTTCGTCCAATTCTTTAACGGGTTGTCTGACAAAATTTTCGGTATAATTTCCAATTGGCTAACAGAAATCTATTATACACATACATACTATATATAAGTTAATATGTACTATTTATGTTTAATACATGTACTGCATGCCTAACTAACTGAAAGAAAGAAGAAGGAAAAAAAAACACTGACAAATCACCGAACAACTGACCACCACATACGCAATCAAAAGATATTGAAATGAATAATGATTTTTGTTTTGGCAATAATTCAAACTATAGTAAAATCCTAACAATTGGTAAAGCAAAATTTTCCACATTTTATTTGTTCTTGTCGTTCTTGTATTTATTATTTTGTGGTGCTGTTTTCGGCGGCGCTTCATTGCAACAAATTATACTCGTATCTGTATAATATACTATATAAATAATTTATTAACATTATTATTAATATCAACAAGTATATTATTTATAAAATGTTGTCGTCCACGTTTCGTGTTTTTAAAACTAGCCTGTGTTTATTGTGTTCTTGTTGGTGTTGCTGCTGTTGATGAAAATGTCGCACCCCTGCACTTTTTCACTTCACCACCTGTGCACCAAATTTGTATACTCTGCACCTGAAGAGTGAAAGAGTATATTAGAAAGTCTAAGCGCTAATTGTGAGTAATAGAAGCGTGGCAGACCTCATGTTAGGAATATCTATATGCATGTTGGCATGACGAGCCGAGTCGATAGAGACATGTCAGTCCGTTCGTATGTCCGTCTGTTTGACTGTATGATCATCGAGAACTTTTGAACCATAACAGCTAGGTATACTATAATTAATATATAGACTTGTCTTATTTATATACACATCAAGTTTACTTACAAGCTATAAGTTTTATATAGTGCTTTATAAAATTTCATTATAATCGGAACACTATTTAATATAGGACCAACCGCAGGTGCAAAAATCAGTCATAGTAGTAAAAACTTATCGGTTTACTTTGATATCAAAAGCCAAATTGGTCCTTATTGGTTTTCGATAATACCTCACTAATCTGTAGTTTATTTTAATTGAAAGGCTGTAGAGGTGAAAAGGGTGGGTGTAGGGTATTCAAGAGTCGAGCTGGCACGACTTTGAAGCTCTACTCGTTTCCATCTGATTGACTTCGTATTACAGCTGATAAATGGTCGTTATGATAAGCTTGGCAACCAAAAAATCATGTCTACAAAACTTTTGACGATTTTAATTTCTATTTATTATTTATTGAACATACATATATATTGTATTTATTTTTCATTGATGATAACCCATTATATGCATTTTATTTGACGTCATTCGCGTCTTGTTGTCAACTGTCTGTTGATGTTCTCTTGAACTTTGGGGTTCGTGTTTATTACAATTTGCATGAAAATTTGCAAAAATATTTTGCATTCGTCAATGATTACAAGTGATTTGGCTTGAGTTCGCTTGCTGTAATCTATAAAGTGCATTACGTTGGACGCAAAATGCGTTTATTGACGCCAAAGTCAGTCATCTGGGACCCTGAAAAAATCAATATTTTTCCTCTCAGATGTCATTGAACGTGAGTGGTTTTGTGATTTTTTCCACGACTCGTATATAAACTTCTCTCATCAAAAATTCTAAGCTATCTGTAACGGTATGGGGATTTTGCCAATCTGTTGTTATCTTCTTATATACTATAAAACTAATCTGAAACATAAAAAGGCATATCAGACTTGATGTAAGACTCCATATCAGACATCAAAACTTTATCTATCTGCAAAAGGTTCTCGAAATATTTTTGTAACAGATCTCACGTTCAGTTAAGGGCGTCAACCTAAACCTGTTATTTGTAATCTCCAGCTGGGAATAAATAGTCTCTCACAGATTTTATGTGAACCAAACTTTGCTCATATCTAAAAATCTATTTGAACTACAAGTACTTATATGTATTTATAAATGGAAACCAATTATTATTTGAATATTCAATTATGTTTTTTATTAAACATAAATATTACGGTGAATAATAATAATAATCTTCCAATTTTTTTACTCAATTATTTTTTAAATTACCCCATTTAGATTTTGCTTAATAAAAACTATCACTGAACCAAATAAATGTAACTTTTAAATACAAAAATATTTTGATTAATAAATGTATCTTTATAATGTCTTTATATTATATGGTTCCAAAAATATCTTATTACTTTTTTAGATAATGCTTGAAAAAAACCTATACTTGTATATAGAAACGAAAGAAAAATAAATGAGTCTTCTTAACTACGATAGAATTGGTCACAATGTACATACATTTGTATGTATATATAAAAAAAAAAATAAAAAAAATTAAATAAATTAGCATGCTGGTCGACTGGTCTATAACTACTGTAGACATTTTTAACCCGACTTACTATTAGTTTCAAATTTATAGAGCCTTCGGCATGCCGAAGATAGCGTTATTACTTAATGTAGTAGGACTTTTTTTTTAAAACCAACTTAGTTTCAAATCCAAACATGTTCTACAAACACTATATATCTTTATTGTTTAGAAATCAATCTTAAGCTTAACATATTTTGAAATATATAGTACATAGTTGTTCAATCTTCAAGGTCCACGCGCTTTAACCTACTCGCTTGAAGGAAGCAAACCGTTATTTCCAGCAACTCTCCTACAAAACCTTCACAATATATATTTGATTTTTGCATTCAATGAACACTACAATAACCCACTGTGTTATTTTTCTTCCATCTCCTCCCTTCTCCCCAGCACCAATGTTTTCCCGCCTCAGACACGAATTTCTACTTTTAATTTGCGAAATTATCTCGTATATTTGATTTATTTTATTTTTCTTCTACAATTTACAAACATTTCTCTGAACTTTTCGTTTCTTCTTTTTCTTTTCTTTTTTACGACAAAAATACAATACCAAATATATCTCAAAAAACAAAAAACCAAAACGAAATCTTTATTTCTCTAGGAGTTTTCAGCCAAGCAATATACTGTGAGTAGTCAGCGTAGTGCCTAGGCAGTACGTGCGGGGTCACTTATTTTTAGAGTGCCTCGAACAAAATAATTATAAAAAACCAACAAACAACAACAAAAAATGCTTAAAACAAACATTTTTGTAAATATTTTTTTTGACAAGTTTGCTTTGAGTTTGCGTTTGTTTCGTTTTTATACAGATTTTCTTATTATAATTATTATTGCGAAAAACAAAAGATTTCCTTTAATAGAACAAAAATTCTCTGAAAACTATTTACCCTTTGCATGCGTTGCTTGGTTTTTGTATCTTTTTACTTTTTCTGGTTCCCCCAACTTTCTTCAGTTCCATATCTCTCGGTCAGCCATAAATTCGTCGGTCAGCCAAAGGAATTGTGAGAACGCCAAACAAACTCTTTACTTTTCTTTGCACTTTTATCGTACTAAACAAATTTTTTTTGAAACACTTTTCCTGTTCTTGTACACTCTATTATAATTACACTATTATACCTACTATTTATCTGTCAATCTGTCCATGTATCTATATAGTATATGTGTCTGTCATTAATGTGTGCACACCCATCGGGCTCTCCATTGGTCGTCTTGTCTCTTTTGCCGATCATCATCGAAACTGTACATTGTCTTAATAATTTGTTGTCTTTGATATTGGATTGTTACCACCTTTATGTAATTTTTTAATGCCTTATTATTTCTTCGATTTATGGTTTACTCACAATATCAACTGGCCTAGCTTTAAGTATTAAATTAAATTTTTTGTTGTATACCGAATGCGCTAATTTTTAACTCCCTCTCGTTTCTCTCCGCTGGCCCATGCACAGAGTCGCGCGCCCATCTCGGCGAAATTGGTCGCAAATATGCTATCAGTGGCCGGTGCGGATCACATTATAACCATGGACCTACATGCCTCACAGATTCAGGTAAGAATTAATACCCATATTTATATATCTTTAGGTATAGTAAAAAAGTAATTAGTGGACGAGCCATGCGCTTACTATTCCTATTAGCAGTGATAAGATTTTCAGTTGAATGATATTACGCACAAATTTGGTTTTATTTGGTTAAACAGGGCCGAAAATATGGATATTTTGGATATAGGGCTAGGAAAGTAAAACAAGTCACAGCAACAAGTTACAGCATTGGTCGATTGTTCTTTGGGGGGGTTATTCGTTTACTGCAATAAAATATAAATAGAAAAGTAATTAATTTAAGAGGTTAAGACAATATGCCTGTCTAGTAGCATAAGACAATTAATTGTCTGCTGGAACTCACCAATTTAATTGGTTGCTCTAAGAAGAAAGGGACGTCTACAACACGGTGAATGTTATGCTCGGCTTTAGCTCGTGCTCTTGGGGTTCCTTTTTCTGCATCTCCTCCTCGCGCTGTCCAACACTGGAAACTTTATTCTTGATGTTTTCGCTGTCCGTCTGATCGTTGTCAAGCGAATGCCTATTGGACAATATGCTTACAGACAATTTGCCCAGCTGATCCATAAGCTCACTGATTCGTTCCTCCTTTACCTTAATAATACTCTCCAAGTAGAGGGACTTTTGGGTAATAGAGCCTATATAGTTATCTTTTTCGGCGCATTCACGCAACACGTTCGCGTATTGATCGTATTTTACCACCCTCTGCGGCACCTTCTGCATCTCCCCGTCCACTAGCTGGTCCAGTTCTACGACCAGTACTTCGACTTCGTCATACATTTTTGGAGTGGGGGCAGCGACGGGCAGTATGGGCGCGGAAGTTGTGGGAGGTAATAGACGTGTACGGGGCGTTGAATTCGATTTAGCACGAGGAGTTTTCAGCGATAGCGCACGTGAAGCGCTACGTGTCTTGAACCCCATAGTACGTTCCGAACGCATTAGATCATAGAGCAAGGGCTCAATCGCTCCATTGGCCCCCTGGGCCAACAATTCCAGCATCTGACGCGATAGCATGAGACCCAGTTTTCGGAGCACTTTCAGATTAAACGTCTCCCAGTTCTCTAGCTTAAGCGAAGTGCTGTTGCGCGAAGTATAGTTCTGTGGATCGACAAGACGGGTGTGGATTTTCTTAAAAAGTTGCGCCACCGGCACCACATTGGATAATTCGCGGCGCGTGCGATTGTTCAGTTCGATTTGATGTGCCTGCAGGAAAGTTTCGAGTTCCTTGAGCTCCTCGGCATTTAGGATGCGACACTGGGACATGTTTGATTGTTTTTATTCTTTTTGGGTATTTAAATATTTTGAATATACTTTTGTGCAATTTTTTATGTTTCTTTGCTTCAACTTTTGGAAAATGGAAATGCCAAAAGGTCTAATTTATCTATAAGTAGAACATGTGACTTAATGGACGGATATTTGAAAGTTCGACAGAAAAATGATGATGATAAGCCTACTGTGTTATTGTTATTAATAGAAAATAGTGTGGTAAAATGTTACTTTTTCAACTTACCTTTATTAAACTTAATCTTTAAAAAATGTCAGTCTTTTAAAAAAAATGGATAATAATGAGAATCTGAAATAAATAAAAGAATACATTGTTATCCAAAAGTCCCATTTCCCTTCTTCCACTTCCACACGATATCGTTCGGCGCTGATGATAAGCTGAAGGTTTTTATCAGCTTGACGAAACGAATACATTTAGAATTTCCCATCTGACCATCCGTCTGTCTGTTCGACTGTATGATCGCCGAGAACATAAAAATCATAACAGCTAGGAACATAAGATTAAGTTTATTTTATATAGTTGTCATAGGAACGTCCTTAACTTGGTCCATAAGAAAAACCACTCAATATCATTTAATATATACATATTGCATGGCCTGTATAATATTTTCGCTTTATATAGGGATTCTTTGATATTCCTGTTGATAATCTCTATGCCGAGCCAGCGGTACTGAAATGGATCAAAGAGAACATTCCCGAGTGGAAGAACTCGATTATTGTATCGCCAGACGCTGGTGGTGCCAAGCGGTAAGTGTTACAAATGGTTGGTATCTAAGTACTTTTCTAAAATCTCTTCTGTTCCCGGGATGGTTTGGTCTGCAGCGTCACCTCAATTGCGGATCGTTTGAATGTGGAATTTGCGCTGATCCATAAGGAGCGCAAGAAGGCGAACGAGGTAGCCTCCATGGTGTTGGTGGGCGACGTTAAGGATAAGATTGCCATATTGGTCGATGACATGGCCGATACCTGTGGTACTATAGTCCATGCTGCGGATCGTTTGGTGGAGGCTGGCGCCACCAAGGTAAATTTATCTTGGGACACATTCTAAGTTTTGGGGGAGCAGTTTCTTTAGTAAATTGTCACTCCCTAATAATTAGGTCTATGCCATACTGACGCACGGCATTTTTTCGGGACCGGCGATTTCGCGCATTAATAACGCCTGTTTTGAGGCAGTCGTTGTGACCAATACTATACCACAGGATGGCCATATGCGTGATTGCCCCAAGATACAGGTAAGTAGACTTAATTTTTTGATTTCCCTGTACCCGGAGGGGGTACTTAACAGCTAGAAAGAGAAAGAAAGAGTCTGTCTGTATGATCATCGATAACTCTTAAACTTTAACAGCTACGGAGACACAAGTTTGATACAGACTTGTCTTATTCCTATTTAATTTCAAACCATATAATATATAGACTAAAATTTTTATATTGCTACCATGAGACCGATTGGTGCAAAATCATTATTAGTAGCATCTTAAAAAGTCTGGAATTTATGAGTTTTGTATAGGTATTCCGAAGATTCACTACTATATATTTACTGCTTTATAATATATTTACCATTGGAACGATCGGATTAAAATTTTCTAATGTATTTGGTGTAGCCTCACCAAAATCTTAAATTGTATCAAAATAGGGAAACTATCTGCTGCTATGGGTACAGGGTGTGTCAGAGTTTTTTTTTGCGTTGTTTATAAATAAATATTATTAACATGTGGACTTATTTGCTTTCATTCTGCAGTGCATTGACGTATCTATGATGTTCGCTGAGGCTGTTAGACGAACACACAATGGCGAAAGTGTATCCTATCTCTTCTCAAATGTTCCATATTAGGCACCAGTAGCAACAACAAACATAACAACAACAACAACAAACAGCCCAATAAGAAAAGAAGCAACTATTGTACCCAACCCTTCAAAATACATAAACAAAAATGAAAAATGCAAAATCAACTATTTGAAGCATGTTTGCCATCATCATCGTTATATATTTTTTATTATTAACTATGTAATTAAAAGCTCTTAGTGAGAGAACCATCATTATGTAATTATATTAAAATAGCGTAAAGAAAACTAAAGTAAACTAAACTAAAAGATTATTGCCTTTTTGTATACAAAACAAACAATTACATACATATTTGATTTGAGAAACAAAAACATTATCTAAGCATTGGCTGCTCTTAGAGGGCATTATTTAAAATTTAATTAAAATACAAGATTAGCTTTTAACAAAATATATAGAAAAAAATACACACATACATATTACATATTGTACACACCTAAACCAACACATGAAAAACTTATTGTAATTTTACACTGTGCAACAACTTTTTGATGATTCTATAATAGTCATAAGTTTTGATGAAAAGAAGGAAAGAAAAACAAAAACATAAACATAAACGAGTTCAAAGCAAAACTTTAGTATAATTAAGTAAAATAAAATCACAATTGAAAAGATCATAGTTCATAGGCGTTTCAAAAGAAAAAAAATCAACTACCAACACAAAAAAACAAGAACAAAAATCAACAAAAATACAAAAAAAATCAAAGAAAACTGAAAAAGAAAAAGTGAGTTTTATTTGCTTTAATTTACATATTTGGTTGATACATTTCAGTGCCCTTTCCTTTCTTCGTTAAAGAAGGCTTATTTTCTTAAATGATTTGCATAATATGATTAAAAAACAGGAAGTTTTGAAACAATTAATGACGAAATTTAAATCTGGGTAACTGCAATTGAAAAATGCAGCTAATTGCGAAAAATATACAAATAATTCAGCATTGACTGAAGGTGGAATTTTAATTTGGTTTCACTAGCCATGTTTTAAAACGAATAACAATGCATTTTTGATATTTGAAAAATGTTTTGATTGCTTATAATTTGACCGAATTCAGAAACGCGAACAGACCTGCTTATTTCTTATAAATGTTTCGATTAATTTAATTAATAACTTTATAAAAATAGGTAGAATTTACAGCCATTTCATACTTCTGCTTTAAATTTATAAATTGATTCTTAGGAAGAAAGACTTCTTTTCATTTGATTTCAAGTATCATAGTTTTTTTCACAAAAAATAGCACATTTAATATTATTTATTAAATTATAGTTATATTTGTGCACCAATTATGTGGCTTTCTAATATTGGATATGCTAACGCACAAGCGATTGCTCTCTCAAAATTTTTTAATTGAAAAGTATTTTAGTTGGTTACCGCAAATCTGTTCAGATCAATTATCTATTTACGAGTATTATCAAGTACTAAATATTTTCTTAAATATTTAATACTTCCAACTTGAATATTACAAATTGCTTATTTTCTTAAACTATGCTTACTGATGGTGGGAAATATAGTTGCTATACTTGTATATACTGTTCTAGTATTTTCCAGCAATCTCGATTCTCAGTTCGACCCTGTGGTAGCTTGTTCGTTTATGTCTATTTCGACATATTTTATTCCAACCAATATTAACAATAAATCTTTGATAATTGCAACTTTTCATTCAAAATTTATTTACAATACAACAATTTGAATTACGTTCAACGCTTAAAACTCATCCATATCATCGCCATCACCTTCCACGTTATCCGATCCGACTTCTTCGTAGTCGCGTTCCAAGACCGCAATATCATCGCGAGCCTCCGTAAACTCACCCTCCTCCATTCCTTCTCCCACATACCAGTGTACGAAGGCGCGCTTCCTGAACATCAAGTCGAACTTGTATGCCAGATTCGAGAAAGCCACCGATATTGCCGTCGTATTGGACAACATACAGCATGCACGTGCAGTCGGCGCCAAATCCCCATCCGGCACGAAAGCGGGCTTCTCATAATTTATCCCGATCTTGAAACCTGTGGGACACCAGTCCACAAACTGAATATGGCGCTTGGCCTTAATGGCCGACACCGCTGCATTCACATCTTTAGGGACAACATCACCTCTATAAAGCATACAGCAGGCCATATATTGGCCAGCTCGTGGATCACACTTGACCATCATATTAGCCGATTCAAAGCAGGCGTTGGTTAGTGCAGCGATTCCATGCTGCTCATGCGCAGCTCTTGAGGCCGACATTAGAGGAGCGTAGGCCACAAGCGGGAAGTGAATGCGTGGAAAGGGAACCAAGTTCGTTTGGAACTCATTTAGGTCCACATTCATGGAACCATTGAATCGCAACGAGGCAGTTGTCGAGCTCACAATCTGGGCAATCAAACGATTTAGATTGAGATACGCTGGCCTATCTACACCCAAGCTATTATTACAGATGTCATAGATAGCTTCGTTATCCACAATAAAGACACAGTCCGAATGCTCGATGGTTGAGTGTGTGGTCAGTAATGCATTGTATGGCTCCACCACGGCCGTGGACACCTTTGGGGACGGATAGACAGCAAAGTCTAGTTTGCATTTTTTACTGAATTCGCCCGACAGACGCTCAACGAGCAGAGATGTAAATCCAGAGCCTGTACCTCCTCCCAGGGAGTGAAATATGAGAAAGCCTTGGAGACTGTCGCATTGCTCGGATATTTTTTGTAGGCGTGACGTCACTTTATCGATCACCTCCTTGCCAATGGAATAGCGGCCACGCGCATAATTATTAGCCGCATCCTCTTTACCGGAAATCATTTGCTCCGGATGATACAAGTCCCGCATAGGTCCATTGCGCAAATCATCAATAACGGAGGGCTCGAGATCGACGAAAACAGAACGTGGCACCTGTTTTCCTGATCCCGTTTCGTTAAAAAAGGTGCGCGAATCGTTGGCCGAGGTATCATGCCCGGCACTGGCGCTGCTGCCGCTGGCCAGTAGCTCCTCTTTGGTTTTCAGAGTGCCGTCCATATTGATGCCATGCTCTAATAAATATAGTTCCCAACAGGCATTACCGATCTGTATGCCACACTGGCCGATTTGTATGGAGATGACTTCGCGCTGTAAAGAAAGAAACAGCGAGCGCCATTGTTGCACATTGATCGTGAGTGAGTTAGAGTTGATATAAAACATCAAAATCATTTACACACCATTTTGTTTCGCTGGTCGCTGACTGCGCGCTAATTGGCAAATAAGAATAATTTAATTTTTGCACAGTTTAAAAACCAATAGCGCAGCACTTATTTATTTTAAGAGATCTTTCTCTGCGGCCACGCGAATTACAGCAAGCAACTCGATGTGTGAAAGAAAGTTCGATAGCCATTGGAAATATTCCGTTAATTGCAGTGTCGCGACGGTCGCCAACAGAGCTGCAATTAAGACGAGGGTGGCGGGTGCAAAAAAATTGTCTAGACTCGAACTCTAGTTCGATGGGTTCGTAACTTCTTTAATAGTTTAAGAGTCGTTTTTAATTAAGGGAATTTTTTTTTACATTATAATTGTTGAGCTTTTTTCGTTTTAAGGTAATAAATAATAATAATATAAGAGCACCTGCATAATGTTCAATTAAAAACTAACTTAAAATACCTTTGGAGTAGAACTAAAAATCTCATCAAATAAAATCCCTGATTGTTAAACTAAGCTTAAGTTACATCGCGATTTTCATGGCTTGTTATACAATTAATCCTTTTTGACGCCCGGCGGCAGTGTAATATCAAAAACAATCGGCGCGTTATTTGGCAGATAGTTAATATCGCATGTGGACGCATTCACATAAATAACACGCCCGTCGCTCGTTATTCCATAGCCTTCGTGTACGTGTCCGAAAACGTGGTATTTGGGTCGCACGCGTTGCTGCACTGTGGTGAGCAGTTCCACGCAGCCAGCGCGTACTCCAGAGCAGCAAAGATCGCCGTGTCCAACTGGCGGCGTATGCGTGACCAAAATATCGATGCCAGCCGGGATTTGATTCCATTTCTGTAGGCACTGCGGACCGCGTGGTATATTGAAGGCCCAGCGGCAAAATTCTGGCTGCCAAGGCGAACCATAAATGCGAACTCCCCACAACTCCAGCAGTTCGTCCTCGATGTATGTGCAATTTGTCAGCACCTTGCGTATATTTTGCGTTTGTACTGCCTTCTCCAGGTTCTCCTTGGCATTACCCAGTGTGGGCAAATCATCCAATATGGACATGCCCGTGTGTTTTGTTCTGAAATATAAATGAAGATTAGTATGAATTGCTCCAACTATCACTGCCGGCTAAACCAACCGTTCGGCACTTCCTTTGTTCTGGAAAGGATGCGTGAATGTGGGATCGAAGCTGAGTTCATGATTGCCGGCTATAACAATTTTGTGGGCGTGCGGCAGTTGTCCGATCCAATTGTTGAACTCCACCACCTCCTCCAACTGACCACACTTCGTGAAGTCACCGGCATGGATGAAAATATCGCCATCGGGTATATCGAACTTAATGTATGGAGTCAGGGAGTGTGTGTCACTCATACAAACCACTCGGGCTTTATTTGGCGCCACTGTGGTTGTCGGTGGCTTTGTTGTTATCTTGATGACGCGCTGCGTCTTACTGATTTCCTTCCAGGCCGCTGTGGGATCGCTGGTTAGTGGATGCACGCCAATTTCGGATCGATCAGCCATGATTTACTTCCCGTGTTGACGTCACTTTAGACGAACAGCTGAGCCGCCGGCGCTCGGTTCCAGCTGGCAGGTCTGTGTTTTAATATATCCTCAAGCTGGCAACGCCGTAATCCTTGGCGCGTTGCACAGGTTTGAAAAAACACAATTTACTTCAATTGAAATATAAATTATATGTATCATAATTTATGCGGAATAATATAATTAAAGTAAGTTTCCATAAGATTTAGTACTAAATATTAAATTTTTAATTACTACAAGCATTTTTGAACAAAAAATTGACGCATTAAGATTTCGACAAACAATGTTGCAGTGTGAATTAATTTTTTTAAAAGAAATATCAACATAAATAAGTTCTGCACAATTTTCAGATTGTCCAGAAAATTTATAAGGGATACTAAACTTGCTGACTTAATCAAATTACAATTTTATTTAGCTTTAAATATCTATATTTGTTTTAATAAGACTCCATAATAGCAACTGCTCTGGCTTTCAAGTAAAAAGTCATAAACTAATCTTCTTTAATTTATTTCGTTAATAGTATAAAAATAGAGTTATATTGCGATTCAGGTGCTGATTTTTAAGTGAAGGTATTATTGCTATGTACAAATTACCATATTAGTTGATTATTTATTCTGCTGAAAATATCAAAAATCCTTCTATCAGCTTTTAAGCCCCCTAGGCAAGACCTTTGACTAATCTACCAATAAATCCCAACATTAAATCTACATCAGTTGCAACTTTCATGTTACATTTATTAACATTGTTACAATTTGAATAGCGTTCTACGCTTAGTACTCATCCATGTCATCGCCATCATCTTCCACGTTATCCGATCCGACTTCCTCGTAGTCCCGTTCCAAGACCGCAATATCATCACGAGCCTCCGTAAATTCACCCTCCTCCATTCCTTCTCCCACATACCAGTGGACGAAGGCACGCTTCTTGAACATCAAGTCGAACTTGTATGCTAGATTCGAGAAAGCAACCGATATGGCCGTCGTATTGGACAACATACAGCATGCACGAGCAGTCTGCGCCAAATCCCCATCCGGCACGAAAGCGGGCTTCTCATAATTTATCCCGATCTTGAAACCTGTGGGACACCAGTCCACAAACTGAATATGGCGCTTGGCCTTAATGGCCGACACCGCTGCATTCACATCTTTAGGGACAACATCACCTCTATAAAGCATACAGCAGGCCATATATTTGCCAGCTCGTGGATCACACTTGACCATCATATTAGCCGATTCAAAGCAGGCGTTGGTTAGCGCAGCGATTCCATGCTGCTCATGCGCTGCTCTTGAGGCCGACATTAGAGGAGCGTAGGCCACAAGCGGGAAGTGAATGCGGGGAAAGGGAACCAAGTTCGTTTGGAACTCATTTAGGTCCACATTCATGGAACCATTGAATCGCAACGAGGCAGTTGTCGAGCTCACAATCTGGGCAATCAAACGATTTAGATTGAGGTACGCTGGCCTATCTACACCCAAACTATTATTACAGATGTCATAGATAGCTTCGTTATCCACAATAAAGACACAGTCCGAATGCTCGATGGTTGAGTGTGTGGTTAGTAATGCATTGTAGGGTTCCACCACGGCTGTGGACACCTTTGGGGAGGGATAGACAGCAAAGTCTAGTTTGCATTTTTTACTAAACTCATTAGACAAGCCCTCAACGAGCAGCGATGTAAATCCAGATCCCGTACCTCCTCCCAGCGAGTGAAATATGAGAAAGCCTTGGAGACTGTCGCATTGCTCGGATATTTTTTGTAGGCGTGACGTCACTTTATCGATCACCTCCTTGCCAATGGAATAGCGGCCACGCGCATAATTATTAGCCGCATCCTCTTTGCCGGAAATCATTTGCTCCGGATGATACAAGTCCCGCATAGGTCCATTGTGCAAATCATCAATAACGGAGGGCTCGAGATCGACGAAAATAGAACGTGGCACCTGTTTTCCCGATCCCGTTTCGTTAAAAAAGGTGCGCGAATCGTTGGCCGAGGTATCATGTCCGGCACTGGCGCTGCTGCCGCTGGCCAGTAGCTCCTCTTTGGTTTTCAGAGTGCCGTCCATATTGATGCCATGCTCTAATAAATATAGTTCCCAACAGGCATTACCGATCTGTATGCCACACTGGCCGATTTGTATGGAGATGACTTCGCGCTTTAACAAAAGTGGGTTAGGTTTGATATAAGTATGATTTTTATTTACACACCATTTTGTTTTCGCTGGTCGCTGACTGCGCACTAATTGGCAAATAAGAATAATTTAATTTTTGGACAGTTAAAAAAAAAGCTGTGGCAACACAAATATATGTTCAGATATTTATTTTCTGTGGCTAGAACAAGTACGGAAAGCAGCCCGAGGAGGAGTAATGGAAGTTCGATAGCCATTGGAAATATTCCGTTACATTACATACATATGTATAAAGAGGAAATCATGAGGGCTCCAGGGCTGTAATTTAGATGTGGGTGGTGGGTGTGTAAACATTTTAATATCTTTTAGGAGTAATAGTTTACAATTTACAATAAACAAAATATTATTTGTGTAATAAACCTTTTTTATGTCCAATAAAAAATATTTTGTACGCCGGAGGTTCGTATGATACTAGACTTTGTTATAAACGCATGTAAACATTTTTAGCAGTTAAAACTTTGTAAAGTAATAGCAGCAAAAACATTCTACAATATATTAGGATTGAAAAGGCTGTAAAGAAATGTTTATCAAAAGCAGGGAGAAGTTTATTATTAATGGAACTTAGAGAGTGAAGTGTGTAATCAGCAGTTGAATTTAATTTTAGAAGGCTACTCCGATAGCAAGTGTCGATTTAGTGGAAATTGTCGAAGAAACTGCATTTTCATTGATTACTGTTCGGTATGTTTCAATCCTTCCCTAGCCTATACATATGCATTTGTAGTTATGTACATACATAGGAGAACATACCCGTTTTCTCCAATCTGAAACACTGTGAATGCAAAATTAAAAGGGTACTTAAGGTACTTATTTTGCGTCTTAAAAGTGAAAACCAGTTGTTTTCAATAAATTATGTAAAATTATGTTAAGTAAAAATGGACTAACAAGCTTTAAATTAACACCTAAATGCATTTAAATTATTTCGATGATTTTCTGCTAAGCATCGATATCTTGGCATCTCTATTAGGCATGTGACGTCAGTTTGGTAGAAGAACTCAACTACCGGCCGCCCTAACTGTCTGGCAGCGCTGGCATTCTAAACTAGCTTCGAGTTGGCAGCGCCTCCGTCTAAACAAAACTCAGCTGTTTGCTTCGCCGTGGTCTCGTAAAATTTTCATGTACGCGTCTTTAATTATTTTGTAAAAATTTAATTGAATTTTATTTAAAATTAGTTCAACTAATTAGTATTAGTGCTAGTGAGCTAGGGTGCGCAAAGCGGCGCATCTGCGCCGGAGGCGGCTAAAATGTATTTCGTAAATTGAATTACATTGCAAAAAAAAATGGCTGCACTTTCACGGTTTTAGTTTCATGTTGCTTGCGAAAAACAACACAGTGTGTTTGTCTACTTTAACAATTGTGTGTAGTTTGTTAGTGCAAGTGTTTTGTGCAACAAATGGAGCAGTCTTTGGACCTACAAGAAGAGGCCCTGTTTCTCGACGAGCGCAGTAACAGCGGCAACGGCGGTGCAGGTGAGCCTATAAGTAAGTGATAAAAAGTGTTTTGTTTGTTAAATACAAGTACAAAAGTTCTATTTTTGTTTTTGACGCTGCCAAACGGGTGCATGTGCAATATAAATGTATTTTTGTAAATGTTTTCGCTTCTCGTCCGGTCTGGGTGCAGCAACAATCGCAGTACTGTTGCTGACGTCGCAGTTGGCGTCGCTGCTAATTGTTTACGCCCACCTACTAATTGAAGTCTCGCTCTGTGTGCGTGTGTTGGTGTGCTTGTACGCTTGAGTTATCGGGTTGCTATAGCTTCTGTACAGCTCCACTCTCCGCGTCTCCCACCGTGCATTCTCATTTTTCCACCATCAGCTGCTCTCTTTTAGCCCTACGCGTCGGCGCCTTTGCCACTGACCATTAAGCTGTTGTTGTTGTTGTTGGTGTGCGTCTTTATTTCTTAAGTGGATGATTCACTTTGATTGTGGTTTTCTTGCCACCCCACCCCTCCGACCCAATATACAATAAAGATTTTATGACCGTTTTGTGTGCACTTTTGCGCACTCCCAAGTGGGCCGATGGCCACGTGTATATGTGTGTGTGCGTGTGTGAATGTATACATTTTTATTGCTTTTTATGTGACTATTGTTCTTTGAATCTTTGCCATAATTTATTGTTGAAAACTTTGTTTGCGACGCAGTTTTTAAGCTCAGTCTGTGATTTGTTTTCTCTGACAACGGCTCTGATTTACCGTTCCAATAAAATAGGCTTATTGAAACATACACAGATACTTCAAAGGGAGCTCTTGAGCAATTGTAGAAGTTACAAAAGTTATTTTTTTATCACTCAAAAAACTAAGCCTTAAGCCCATTCTTTTTGAATTTATTAAATAAATACTTAATTTTTTCTCTATTTTTGTATTCCCTCTTATCATCTATCACCTTGTGGTCCTTAATAGTTAACACCGGTAGTCAAATATCGCTGTACGCTCGACTTACATATAAGACAACATACCGACTTTCAGGCAGATGTGTATGTATTTTCTGCACTGAACAGAGAGATGATCACCTAATTAACATACAATTTGAATATGACAGGAAGTTGGGGGCTATTCGCAATGCTTAGAATGACCTTTCTGAATCAAAACTATCGCCACATTAGCCACAGTTAATATGAAATATTACCAAATCTTAAATAAGCTAATGGAAAAGCAATACTAAATACATGCATAGAGGTTAGGTTCCTTAACTTCTGCGTTTATAAGACACATAAGTAGATATTGTTTCTAAATCTACATTTTTGCAATAATTACTGCTAGTATTGTTATTTTTATAAAATTTTCAGCGGGAAATATTTGGACGTGCAAACATAGATACCAACGTTTTTTTTTCACCAAGCACACAATATCTTTTATCGAAAAATACGTTAAATTTATGAATTTTTGATCCAAGATGTTGAATAAAATATTTAATTCCAGTTTTCTCACCTACAAATGAAGGCTTTTATAACCATATATGTATGTACATAATGCCAATTCATAAATGCTGATATAGACCATACAAGATTTTATTAGACAATTTTTCGATTTAATTTACATATTTGATTGAAAAGTTCAATGCTGACGTCTTCGAAAAAATCTAAGATTGTACAAGCAGGGATTGATGAAGAAAACGATGAGTAGAACGATATTCTTTCACTATTGATGTTGTATTGATTGCGAGCTTTGAGCAATGTTACGGAATCAAAAAATAAAAATTGCTATAACCTTCGGATAGAGTAGTACAGTGGCTAGAAGTATTGAGAATGAGAATATTTAGTTTTGTTTTTTGGTTAGAAAAGCCAAAAAATTTACTCGCTTTCCCGCTAAAATTTTAAAGAGGTCGCCTTTTATTACAAATTTATGTACACCTTGCTTATCGAGGTCTTCACAACGTGTTATTGATGATGAGTAGTGAATTGATTCTTACTGAATGGGGTATTGACGACTTTGAGGCAGCAATTAACAGGTTGTTTAGTATAAAGTTGTATAAAGTTTTAATAATGCGTTAAGCTTAGTAGTTATATTTGTCATATATGAAAATATATACATATGTATGTTACACTAATAATATTTATAATACTAACGCCGCTCATACCTATTTTTGATATCAATAGGTAATTAGTTTTTCTGCCCATTTTGTGTTGGTTCATTACACGCTGTAGGATTGTGTCTTTATTTTAGTTTCAGTGCCCTTATAATTCCACATAATTCATTAATGGCACGCTTTAGTCACCCATTAACAAATACGTATACACTATTTCATATATATCTCATTCACAAAATGCTACAATAACAGGCGAGCACTCCCCCATAAAAGACACACGTAGAACTCGCCAAAAAAAAAAATGACGCGCGAAAATATAAACCTTGATAATGACATTCACAAAAAGTGACGCCCGGTCAGGCAGATAGTCAGTTAGTCTGTCAGTCAGTCGTTCGTCTGGTCGTGCTTTGGGGCAGTGGCAACGGTGATACAACTTAGGCGTAGAACAGAGGGCGCAACCTGGCAGTTATCCAACGGATTGTAGTGTCGCAAAATTAGAAAATGTTGCTCGCCAATGTCAAATGTCGAGCGTCGCTTCGTTTGGCTTGACTTGACTTGCCGCTACTGTTGAGCGTCATCGCTGGCGTTGCCCCCAAGCTTCCCGTACACCTGTAAAAATTGCATAAGCTGTAAGATTTTTCGTCAACCGAGCGAGCGCACGAACATGTTTTTCGATATCAACGTCAACGTCAGCTGTGTGCTTGCGTCTAAATGTAAATATATTTATATATATATATATACATATATATATATATATGTATGTGTTTATGTGTGAGTGTGCGTGAGTGTCAGTTCCTACAGTAAACACTTTTCTTAGATTTTTTTGGTTGAAAAACATTGAAAACTTTGAATTTGTCAGAAGGGAGCACCTAAAAGAGGATTTTAATAAATTAAATAATAAAGTATTTTGTAGTGCATTTATACTTTTGTTTGATTGCTCACATTTGTAATTTGTGATTAAATAAATTAAAAATATAATTACATTTATACTTACAATTAAAAAAAGCTTTATTTTAAATTTAACGCTCAGCTTAGGCCAATTAATTTTCGAAATAAAAACAATTTATATAATAATGGTTTGCCCAGGCCACAACTAAACAGAAAATGCAGGAAACCTGCATTTTATACTTAAATAGCAGATGAACAATTATTGCAAAAAATCAATCAAAAGCAAACTCTACTCATATTTTTTGATATTTTAAATTTGATATTCTTGAGTATTTAACTCTGAAAATGTTTATAAAATATTTCATTAATAAATATTTAAATTTTACTGATATTTGTTGATATTTTACATTTAATATTTTTGTACCTCAAAAAAATTAAGTATTTAACTCTGAAAATGTTTATAAATATATTTCATTAATCAATATTTCAATTTTATACAACTATCTGATCAAGACGAAACTAACACAAGAAAAACAAGAGAGAACGCTACAGTCGAGCAAGCCCGACAGTGTAATACCCTGTACCCATGTAAACTTCCGTCACTGAGTTATATGCGCCCATAGCAGCAGCAAAAAGAGGAAGAAGAAGAGCGAACTTGTTGCTGCAGTTTGGGGAGGTTGTACTGGCGAGAATTTGTTTTGCTAATAACTTTTCTTAGAATTGACCGAATTGAATAAAATTTTATACAACAGTAGACAATTATATATTAATTATGTGTGCAAAGTTTGGTTTAGGTAGCATTTGAAATGTGGACGGTATTGACGAAATTCTGTAGCGGGGGAAGGGGGGAAAAATTCCAAAAAATAAAATAAACTCGTCCTTACTCGGACCTAGGAAAATCTGGATGCCAACTTTGGTTATTCTAGCTTTTATAGTTTCTGAGATCCTCGCGTTCATCCAGACGGACAGACGGACAGACGGACGGACAGACGGACGGACATGTCTAGATCGATTTCTCTCGTCATGCTGATCAAGAATATATATACTTTATGGGGTCGGAGATGCTTCCTTCTGTATGTTACTTTGCACAAACCTAATATACCCTTTTTACCCTACGGGTACAGGGTATAAAAACCGAAGTGGCTGCAGTTGCAGCGAATTTCAAACAAATAATAAATCGCAATTAAGGTTAAACATTACATACATATGTACATACATTCATATATGTGACAGGTATTCGAAAATCCGCTTTATTAGCTTTCGTTATCTTATATTAACATTGCATATGAAAATGCGTTCATGAGCCTCAAAGGCAGAGTTTTATAGTGTTTTATGAAATTGTATTCTATAATTCTACTTGGGCTGATGAATAAATAACATGAATAATAAACATTTGGTTACATGGCATATAAATTCTGTAGGGTGTGTTCCGCTTAGTGGGTTTCCACTGCAGTTTAGTCAAAGCCGCAATGCTTGAAACAGTTCTCATGCTCATTTGTTTGGGAGCCGTCGTCAATGGTGGAAATTGCAACGCGCGCGCCGTGTAAAGAATTTCACTTTTATCGAGCTGCTCGAGTGTTTTGGTCCTTTGGCGTCCTTGTACGCGTCCACTGTTTGTTTGCCCAGTGTGTATAGTAAGTGTTCGGGTGTACGTGCTCGTGTTTACCAGTCCGGGTGTAAAGTGCGTCGCATTCTCGCGTGTTTGCCATTGCGTGCGTTTTTCTTTTTTTTTTTGTTTTGTTTATTTTGGCTTTTAAAGCCGAAAGTCTGAGTACAGAGGCAGTGCGATTGTTGGTTTGTTGGTCGTATTTAACATTTTTGAATCGTAGTTGTTGTCGTAGGCGTGATGTAATTTACCTATAAGCGGTAAAATGAAATTAGCTAATGGCCTAAGGTTTATTTGGAAAGCACTTTAAGGCTCAAGTGAACTCACAATTGTTGTAAAATAGCGACCAGGTGCTAATTTGTAGCTGCTCACTGTGTTCAACTAATAAGTCTATGTATCACATAAATATTTGCGCAAGTTTCTCGCTCTTAATTTGTAATTTTTGTTGTTGTTTTGTTTGCTGA